CAGCACGGCAGCGTCTACTGGAACGACGCCGCCGAGGCGCGCCTCGCCGCGCTCGACCCCGCGCGGCCGCTCCGCGAGCAGCTCGCCCCGGCGCTCGCGCATCCCTGGTCGCCCAACTGGCAGGACCAGAGCACGCAGGCCGAGTGCGACGCGTTTGACGCCGCCCTCGGCGGCCGGGAGCGCCTGGCGCACGTCACCGGCAGCGGCGCGCATCATGTAAGTGGGGGTTTCCCCCCCCCGGCGTGTCGTGTATCTTTATGTTGTACAAAGGTACTTTTTCTTTGGGGTGAATGGCTGCTGACAAGGAGGACCATTCTAGCGATTCACTGGACCGCAGATTATGCGCCTCCGCCGCGTGCACCCAGACGTCTACGCCTCGACCGCGCGCATATCGCTCGTGTCGTCGTTTCTCGCCTCGGTGCTCGTCGGCCACATCGCGCCGCTCGACACCGGCGACGTGTGCGGGATGAACCTCTGGGACATGGAGCAGCAGTGCTGGAGCCCCGCGCTTCTCTCCCTCGCCGCCGGCGGTGACGCGGCCGCCGCGCATCTCCGCCGGATGCTCGGCGAGCCCTGCCTCGACGGCGGGCAGCCACTCGGCCGCGTCGCCGGCTACTTTGCCGCCCGGTACGGCTTCCGGACCGACTGCCAGGTGCTGCCGTTCACCGGCGACAACCCCGCAACGCTGCTGGCGCTGCCGCTGCGGCCCGGCGACGCCATCGTGTCGCTCGGCACGTCAACCACGTTTCTCATGCACGCGACGGCGCGCGCGCCCGACGGCGCCTACCACTTCTTCAACCACCCGACCACGCCCGGCCACTACATGTTTATGCTGTGCTACAAGAATGGCGGCCTGGCGAGGGAGCGCGTGCGCGACGCCCTGCCCGGTGCCAGCGGCGGCGGCGACTGGGCCGCGTTTGACAAGGCCGTCGTGGACACGCCACCGCTGGGCCAGGACAGCGGCGGAGAGGAGGGCCGCGCCAAGATGGGGTTGTACTTTGACCTCCGCGAGACGGTGCCCAACATCCGCGCCGGAACGTGGCGCTTCACCTGCGCCGCCGCTGACGGGAGCGACCTGCGCGAGGAGGATGCAGCCGTGGCCGGAGCACGGGGTTGGTCGGCGGCCGTCGACGCGCGGCTGATTGTCGAGTCGCAGGCGCTGTCGATGCGGTTGCGCGCGCAGAAGCTCCTGCGCGGCGACGACGACCGGCTCCTCCCCGCGCAGCCGCGCCGCATCTATCTCGTGGGCGGGGCATCACATAACGCGGCCATTGCGGCGACGCTCGGCAGCGTGCTCGGCGGCACGGACGGCGTCTACCGGCTGGACGTCGGCGGCGACGCGTGCGCGCTGGGCGGCGCGTACAAGGCGCTGTGGGCGCTGGAGCGGCGCGGCCCAGACCAGACGTTTGACGACTTGCTGGCCGCGCGCTGGCAGGAAGAGGGCGCGATTGAAAAGGTGGATGTCGGGTATCGAAAGGGCACGTATGAAAAGTACGGCAATGTGCTGGGCGCGTTTGAGGAAATGGAGTCGAGGCTGCTGGCGGAGGAAAAACAATGAGGACAAATAACAGGGCACTGGGCAAGGGGTCGTTTGAAAATTGGCATCTATAATTTTTGATTATATTCATACACAAGACCTGGCATTTAACTTGTCCGCAAACCTCATCTAACGTATTTGCTCATGAAGCGTCTATGGAAATCGGAGCGCAAGAGGTCCTACACAAAGGTTAGCAAACGACCAGATACAAGCAGCAAAAAAGAAACAAAGATACGCCGCAAATGTACTCACATTGACAAACTCCTTCTTCTTGCCCTTGTCTTCTGTCCCGCGCGCCTGGTTCTTAAAGACCACATCGTCGTCCCAGCGCCTCTTCATCGTGAAGTCCTGCTTGTTGAGCAGCGGGTTGCCCAGAGCAATGTTGCGTTCCCGCACGTCTTCCTCTTCCTTTGCGCGCGCAAGTTCCTACCAAAAGGAATCTGTCAGCAACTTCATCACAACTTGCTCAGCACACCTTGCAAACTCACCTCTTGCTTCTTCTTCTCCTCGCGCTCCCTCCGCACGCGCTCTAGTTCCCGCTGCAGCTCCGCATCCTCGTCATCGCTATCATCGCTGTCGTCGCTATCATCACCATCGTCCCCTTCCTCATCGTCATCGTCGTCCGCGTCTATGTCTCTCGTCTCCTCTAATATCCGCCGCCGTTTGGCATATATGTCTTCTTCGCCGGCCGCGCCCGCCTCGCCGCTCGTGGGCAGCGGTCGCTTCGTAGCGCCGTCGCCGGCTGCCGTCTCGGTGGCGCCCTCCTCAATGGCGAGTGGCGCGCTGCCGCCCTTCTTCTTGGAGAAATGGGCCGCTTCGGCGGCGAGCAGCTGGGCGGCCAGGTCGTGCGTGCTATCCTCGTCGTCGGCGTCGCCGCCCTGGCCGGCGCGGCGGTACTTGAGTTGCGTGTGTGCGGGGAGGAGGCGCTGGTGGTAGGCCGGACCGCGGAGGGCGTCCTTGCCACGGGCCTGCCGTGAGAGTTGAATGGTTAGACTTGGCTAGTTATAAGGCTGGGAATGGGAGGAAGAATATTACCGGATCGAACGTAGGTCTATGCGCTGTAGTCATGGTGCTTGTCTGCTGCGTGGAGACTTTTTTAAAAGAGGTGATGGTGGAAGAAGAAGAGTTGGCGATCGACCGGCGCAGTTGCATCGTCCAATGCAGTTAGGCGCTGGACCGTAACAGGTAAAAATGTACCCACCGCCCGGCAGAATTTGCTTCTTTGCATGACCCATGTCAACCTCGTTAACGTGCACAACTCAACTCGCAGCAAATTCTGGATAGAATTCTCTGTTAAAATTTCATAAATCAATTCAAAATGCCACGAGAAGCTGAGCCATCAATTAGCGAAAAGACCTTCGTCATACAGGCGCTGGCCGAGGGGCTACGTCTGGACAACCGCAAGTTTGAACAATATAGGTCACTGAATGTTACATTCGGCGATGAGTATGGCATCGCAGAAGTCCAAGTCGGAAAGACAAAGTAAGTCGCGTCTCGAAGCATCTTATAATACATTCGTACAAATACTAATTTGGATTAGAGTCCTAGCCAAAGTATCAGCAGAAGTCACGGTACCTTTCTCAGATCGTCCGTTTGACGGCGTCTTCACCATTGCCTCTGAGCTGAGCCCCATGGTCGCGCCCTCTTTCGAGGTGAACCGGCCGACAGAAACCGAAGTAGTTCTGTCGCGGCTGCTTGAAAAGACGATCCGCCGCTCCGGCGCCCTCGATACCGAGTCGCTGTGCCTCGTCGCTGCCCAAAAGTGCTGGTCCATCCGCGCCGACCTACACGTTCTCGCGCACGACGGCAACCTTCTCGACGCCTCGTGCCTGGCCGTCATCGCCGCTCTGCGCCACTTTCGCAAGCCCGAGACGACCATGGAGGGCGGTGTGCTGACCGTGTACACGCCCGCCGAGCGCGAGCCCGTGCCGCTGAGCTGGCTGCACTCCCCCTTTTGCGTCACGTTTAGCTTCTTTGGAGAGGAGGGTGACGGCGATGACACGACGGTGCTCCTCGACACGACATGGCTGGAGGAGCAGCTGCGCACAAGCAGCTGCACGTTTAGCATGAATAAGCACGGCGAAATTTGCCAGGTTTCCAAGCTGGGTGGCGCCGCGGTGGACGCGCCGCTATTTGTGAAGTGCGCGCAGACGGCGCTCAACAAGAGCAAGGAGTTTACAGACTTACTGGATAGGAAACTGGCGGAGGACGCAAAGCGGAGGGACAAGGGCGGCTTGATGGCCGAGCTGACGGCGGAAAATGATAGATGATTTAGTATATTTACAAAAACAACAAGCCAGTTGAACGATGAATTAGATGTGTGAATAGGCGAGTTTATTGAAACCGGCAATACATCATGTTCCCCGTTCTTGTATTCTGTTTGCGATAATGCTGCGGCTCCCTTATTAGATGGACAGTTGCAAACGCAAACACGGTCGACTTTGAAGCTACTTTTCTGCCGTCCCTCGGGATTTTCTTCCACTTCCATGACTTCTCTGATTTGAAGTGCGCTGAACGAGCTGGCTCCTCATTATTTACCCTCGTGTCAACTGGAAAGCAGGGCATTTCTATATGATTAGGATGTCCTTTCATTAGCACCTTGCGATTAAAGTTAAAATATGCTGTTATATGTGATATGTTCCACAATATTCTACCCGAACCTAAACTCCGATGCAATATGAGGAAAGTGAAATGCAGGCTCGTAGCTCATGAGATAACAAAGACCCAGAAAACAGACATGCTCAGCGCATGACTGGTGGTCTAGATTCTTTATTCCACTGCACACGCGTGCGCAACCAGTCGACGGCCTCGCGCACACCATCACCCGTCAAGGCACTCATGGCCAGGACGCGCGTGTCGCGGATGCTATCGCCCTTGTCGCCCTCCATGACTTTTTTAACAAGCCCCTCTTTAATCCGTATAGTCTCGACGCAGTCCTCGCGGTCCTGCTTGTTGGCGAGGATGAGGAGCGGCACGCCCTCGGTGTCGGAGTGTTGAAGGACGTCCTCGAGGACGCAGCGGCACTCGTCGAGGCGGCCGGTGGCGTCGTGCTCAATAGTGCCGTCGCCGACGTCGGTCGAGTCGATGATGAAGACGATGGCATGGCAGCTGGTATAGTAGCTCTCCCAGAGACGGCGCAGCGAGTGCTGGCCGCCGACGTCCCAGACCTTGAGGTACATGTCGGGCAGCGTCAGCGTCGACACGTTTTGGCCGACGGTCGGTACCGTCTTGAGCTTGGGCGCCGGCCCGTCGGGGAGGTACATGGCCTTGACCTGCTCATGAAAGGTCGTCTTGCCGGCGTTGTCGAGGCCGAGGACGATGACCGAGTACTCTGCGCGGGCGAGGCGGGTTAGGATGGGGGTGCGGCTCGACGTGTGGAAGGGTTGGATGTACCTTCTTTGCTGGTCGCATAAAGATAGAGGCCCTTGGCGAGGTGATACATGGCTACTAGAGGGTAGCGCCCGCAGCGCCGGGGTGCAGGGCTGGTGTTGGTCTGGGGATGGCGCAGTATTATGTTGGTGTTGCGGGTTGTCGACAGCTTGTGTGGGCTGCAATGAGCTGCCTGCCACTGTACTGTTGCGGTGGTGTCACGGCCAAGACGGGCGGTTGGATTGTTGGATCTGGTGGGGCAATTTTGTGTAATGTGGCAGGAATCTATGTGAAGCCAGAGTGGTCTCAACTACTAATAAATAATAAAGCGAGAATCTACATTAGAGGCTCAAGCATAAACCGTGCTCTTGATTTATGAATAAGTCAGGATTCTTGTATGTACGGTAACTATTGAGACGTTGATGTGCAACAGTTGTGGAAGGTACGACGGCGTGCGTGCTAACTATTAGAGCAGACACAGACTGCCTTTGCCAACCAGAAAGTCGTTTTGTAAGAAAAGTAGGAAACCGTTAAAATAACTAGGTAGGTACCTAGGTAGTCTCGATTTGAGGTGGGCTTAATAAAGACACATTGCCTTGTAAAAGGTGGCTTGCTGCTGTGCATCTCGGGACTATTGCCCGCCATAAGTACTACGAATATAGCGGGCTACAGTGGCTTCTGTGCATGGCTTGGCATGTCTAGCGCCAGCTTAGCGTTGTAAAGGCCTGTAAGTTTTACGCGGCTGCCTGCTTCTTGCTGAACGACGTATGACCAAAAGGCGTAAGAGGGGAGATTGATGGGATATATACAGTGCAGAGATGTATAAGAAATAAGAAAAAAAAACGTACTGGGCGTATCTTAGACATAAAACCTGACAATATAGCTGATGGCGTTGGCTATCCACGGCAGCACCCGACAGAAGCCGCGCGTAGTTCCCTCAGCCAAACCGTCCCTCCACCCAACCACACCAACCTCGCGCCAAAGCTCAACGGCCAAGTATCTTTTTGCTTCCCGCATGTACGCCTGCCACGACCAGCCTCGTCGTCCCTCTCCGCATCGACCTGCCCTCACCACCGTCTGCGCATTATCAACTCACAGGCGCGCTTCCTCCAATATCACCGCCAGTCCCCGCCCATGGTCGCTCTGCCTCCCCGGTGACGCTCCCGCGCGAGCCCCCTGCCTATTGCTACGACACCCGATCAAAGACCACCCCACGAACCGCGCGCCGGCCGATAGCTTAGCGCGATGAGTGTTGCCGAGCTGGCCAAGCTTGGCCTGGGCTTGCTACGTATGCCCACGGTTGCTTTCCCACGTCTGCGCGACGTATCGATGCGCAATGGCTGACATGTTCTCTTTACAGGCCGGGCCGAGGAAGATGGCGACACCGGAGGTACACACCCCCCCCGAAGCACGATACCTAGGCGCATGCGTGCCTGACGATGCTTCGCCATGTCTAAATTTCGACATGAGACTGTGTGCTAACGTTTCCCAGACGAAGACTCTGCGCAAAAGGAATTCTTTGCAGCATGGGCCATCTTCATCTGCATCCTCCTGCTCATCATCACCTTCTTCATCAGCTACATCATGCAAATGAAAAAGGTCACGGCCATTCACGAGACGGTTATATCAATCTTTGCTGGTAATGCATTTCACCGCTCTCTATTCCGCTGCCCAGACCATTGCTAACGCCCTTCAGGCATGATTGTCGGTCTCGTCCTCCTCATCACATCTGGCGACTCGATCCGATCACCCCTCAACTTTGACTACCAAATCTTCTTTAACCTGCTGCTGCCGCCCATCATCCTCTCCTCTGGCTACGAGCTGCACCAAGCCAACTTTTTCCGCAACATTGGCACCATTCTCACGTTTGCCTTTGCCGGCACTTTCTTATCCGCCGTCGTCATCGGCCTCATCCTCTGGCTGTACTCGCAGATTCCCGGCTCCATCAACATGACCTTTGTCGACGCCATCTCGGTCGGCGCGACCCTCTCGGCCACAGACCCCGTCACCATCCTCGCCATCTTCAACACCTACAAGGTCGATCCCAAGCTCTACACCATCATCTTTGGCGAGTCCATCCTCAACGACGCCATTGCCATTGTCATCTTTGAGACGGCGCAGCGGTACAAAAAGGGCGAGTCCACTAGCCACGGTATAATCAGCTTCTTTGAAGGTACCGGCATCTTCTTGCTAGTTTTCTTTAGCTCCCTGATGATTGGTGTCATTGCTGGTGTCGGCACCGCCCTGCTCCTCAAATTTACCTATGTTCGCCGCTTCCCCAAGACGGAGAGCTGTGTCATTATCCTCATTGCCTACGGAACATACTTCTTTTCTCACGGCGTTCACCTCTCTGGTAAGAAACCTGACCAACTCAACGCCGTTCACTTGCTAACCCGCATTAGGTATTGTGTCGCTCCTCTTCTGCGGCATCACGCTCAAGCACTACGCCTACTTCAACATGTCGCGCCGCACCCAGCTCACCACAAAGTACATCTTCCAAGTCATGTCGCAGCTCGTTGAAAACTTCATCTTCATCTACCTCGGCCTCGCCCTCTTCACTGAGAGCGCTCTGCAGTTCCAGCCGCCCCTCATCATCGTCACCGTCTGCGCCGTCTGCGCCGCCCGCTGGGTTGCCGTCTTCCCCCTCTCAAAGCTCATCAACGCCGTCATCCGGTACCGCGCTCGCCGCCGCGGCCTTGAGGTCCGCGACGAGCTGCCATACAACTACCAGGCCATGCTCTTCTGGGCCGGCCTCCGCGGCGCCGTCGGAGTCGCCCTCGCCGCCCTCCTCACCGGCGAAAACGCCCTCGCCCTGCGCGCCACCGTGCTCGTCGTTGTCGTCCTCACCGTCATCATCTTTGGTGGCACCACGGCCCGCATGCTCGAGATCCTCGGCATCCGCACCGGTGTCGTCGAGGAAATCGACAGCGACGACGAGTTTGACATTGAAACCTCCCTTGGCGCCGGCCTCCACGGCAAGAGGACCTCCAGCTTCGCCGGCCGCCGCAACGGCAACGTAGCCCTCAGTAACCTTGAGCGCGAGGGCCGCGGCTCCGCCGCCTTTGTCTCTGGCCACGCGTCGCTGCATATCGATGGCACCGGCCGCACGCGCAGCATTAGTCGCAAGAACTCAACCCGCGGCGGCAACGGCGCCGCCAACCCAGACGACTTTGAGCGCGCTGAACTCCTCGGCCGCACCGACGAGTCGGACCTCGGCAGCGACATTGACACGTCGGACCTGCCGCCCCCCGCGCGCCGCTCACCCCGCCGCAACGGCTCGTCGTCGGCATCGTTGACGCCCCCATCTCCCCCAAGCGCCTTTATGAGCCCCGCCGAGCCCCCCGCCGAGCCCTTGACCGCTAGAGGCGCGATCAGGCAGCTGCTCACCACCGAGGACCCGGCGAGCCTGTTCCGGCAGCTCGATGAGGACTTTATCAAGCCGCATCTGCTGCTGCAAGATGACGGCGGGCGGTCTCGATCCGGACACGGCGGTGGTAGTGCAGTATGATGAAATTCCAGTGATTTGTTATTAATTTTTTTTTCTTTCTTCAAAAGGCTCTGTTGTGACGAAATTTGCGGGAAAAGACGGGTTTTCATGAAAAGATGGACTAGGAAATCTGGTACATATGACTTATTGTCTTGTCGGAATTTATTTTAGATGAATGGGAGCTCATGTTCTTATAACTACTAGTATTACCTTGGTATAATGCCCTTATTTATTCATACAAAATGTGCTCAAATCGCATCGTGAAACATTTCCATGTGCGAATTGTCTTGCCTTCTATCCCATCTCACGATCATCACGAGGCAAAGGAGTAGTCTTGGTTTGACATATTATGGTGGTGAATTTTTCTGTTGTAGTTTGGTTCTTCATCATAGCCAAATCTCCGTTGGCTCAATGAAGTTTCTTCTTCTTTCTTTTGTTGCAGTCCCCTCTTCTCGTACGACGCTATGTACAGGAAATGCGTCATAAGTAGAGAGTAGTAACCACTGTGTGTGTGTGTGTGTGCGTGTCTTGTGGTGCCCAGAAAAAATACCGAGACGCCAAAGTTCCAAGAATTGGAACCGATTTCATCTAGCCGAGGGCAAAGATGCCCTCTCCATTCTCCCGGTCGGGGAGGATTCAGAGAAAGGAGGCATCGCCGGCAGCAATCATGCTCATTCCCATTCCTGCTAATCCTGCTGTCCCCTGCTGCATCTGCAGATATAAAAAACTCCGTCCGATTAGAAAACCAAAAAGGGTCAGTATACTCCCAGGTTCTAATCCGTAGAAAAAAAAAAAAAGCAAGAACCTCCCCGCTCCAAATACCGAAAGACATAAAAGAAAGAAATTGCCACGAGAAGCACTCATCTTCTTGCGTAAGACCTCCAGAGTCCCTCTATGTTAAAATCAAAGAATAGTCGGCCGCTGCCAGCCATACATAGTACATTTTTTCACACGAGAAAGTCTAGGCGAGACATTTGCGGACAAGCCAGCGCAACAGGGCAGGTAAGAATAATGGTGGAGGGAGTTGGCAGCTCACCACGCATCATGGTTCGACCTGCCCAAAGTGAACGGTTGTAGTCAAGAGGCATCAACCCCTGTAGCTCGTTTGGCTCACTTGCCCGTTGACGATGGCGTCGCACTGCCGCTGGATTGACGCTGGTGAACAGCTGGTGGCAGAGGACTGCCGACCGCATTATTTCCAGAAAGTTGCTGGACTTGGGCCTGCTGCTGTTGTTGTGGTTGCTGCTGGTGCTGCTGTTGGACCTGCTGGGCCTGCTGGGAGGTTTGCTGCTGCTGTTGCTGCTGCTTTTGCTGCGACGCGGCTGCTGCTGCTGCTTGCTGCTGCTGCTGTTGGCGAAGCAAAGCAGCGTACTGGTGAGGGCTCGTCGTAGCAGCAATACTATTAGCTAGGCCAGGTTGGACAGTCACGCCTGCAGCAGCGTTAAGGGCCGACTGTCGCTGCGCCATCATGGCCCTCGTAAGGTGTTCCGTGGCCAGCTGTCGGGATTGTTCAGGCGTCAAGCTTGGATTCTTTGCCCGGAACTGGGCTTCTAGTTGACTGAGCTGCAGAGCAATGTTTGGCGGCAACTGTGTAGGAATTCGAGGACCAGGAGAGCCGTTGGGGACGCCGTTTTGCAAGTGCATGCCGCTCCCAGCACCTCCGTTACGATTGGCGTTGTTGGTGTTGTACGTAGCCATCATAGCCTGAGCGTTGTTCATGAAAGGTTGCTGATTGATGCCGTTCATACCATTGTGCATCGGTGGTGAGCCCTGTCCGTTCTGCGGAACAGCAGCATTAGGCCGTTGTTGCTGGTGGTGGACCTGTTGTTGTTGCTGAATTTGCACAACCGCGCGCTGCTGGTTGGAAATTTGCTGCGCCCGCAACATCAGATTCGTATCGGCCTGCTGGTTAGGCATGGGCATTCTGTGTTGCTGAGCTTGTGCTTGCAGAGCAGCTTGCAGTTGCGCGGCCGGTATTCCCTTCATTTGTGCAGCGGCAGCAACCATGGCAGGGCTCATCTGCGACGGCAGGCTAGGTGCAGCTTGGGGAGCGCCGTTCACACCGGATTGCGACGGCATCCTTGGACGCTGGCCGGCGGCTGCGGCGGCAGCGGCTGCCACCATGTGCGGTGGAACCTCGGGACGCTGGGCACCGGATTGAGCCACACCAGCTGCCGCAGCGGCCGCAGCCTGAGCTGCGGCTTGGTTTGGCTGGGCGGCTTGGGCTGCTCCTGCCATTTGTACTGCCTGGGTTTGGGCTCTAGCCTGGATTTGAGCTCGCCGCGATGCCTCTTGGCGAGCTGCGTACTGCGCCATCTTCTCTGCCAACGCCTGGTCACGCTCGAATCTCATAAGACTGTAGTCCCTGGGCGTCTTCGATGGTCGCTGTGTAACAGTCTCTGCAGCTTTTTTGACTGCATTCTGTGAGGCTGCGTGTTGCTGCTTCTGCTGCGCTGTCTCTCGTTTCTTTGCGAGCTTCCTCATTGCGTCGATGAGAGTCAGGTGCTTCTGGTTCCTGCGTCGTTCGACTCGAACCGGGACGGAAGGTCTTCTGCGAGGAGCAGGCATGTTGTTACCAGCTGCACTAGCTTGCTGCGCCGCAATCTGGTTCTGCTGAGCAATGACACGCTGGGCCGCTTCAATTCTGGTACTGTAGGCCTTGAAGTACTGCGTCTTCTGCATATCAGCTGGCAACCCCTCAAGATTAATCCATCGCTCGAAACATTCCCAGGGGGTGCGTCGCTCTGGCCCGGAGATGAAAGAGGATCTTGTAGAAAGCATGCACGATATTAGTGACCAGTTATACGAGTAGTCGCGCACAAGACCTCTCAGATCGTCATCTTCACTGATTGTCCACTGTGAGGCACTGCGGCACTCGTAGAACGATTGCATAGGCATGGGGTGTTCCGAAGGAGGTCGGAATTGATGACCCGCATGCAACCTGTCTCGAATAGCCTTCGATTCAGGATTGAATAACGCGACATTGCTAACCATGTCATCAGTCCCGGCGTAATTGACTGTTGGGTCAGCAGCAAACGTGCTGTCACCCTCATCATCCGAATCTTCGTTGCGAAAGTTAAATCGGCCGCGCTTGAGCGGGGGGCCTTTTGTGACGACCCTCATCTCCCCTTCAACGAATTTGCTCAGAGGTAGAGCAGGCCGGCGCCAATGCGCATCAGGGTCTAGTTCTGGGTTGCCGAGGTCTGTCGGGGGGACCTTTAGAGGAGCGCCATAGAGAGGGAGTTCGTTCAAGAGCTGTTGGGCCGCTTGTGTTCGTCGAAGGCCAAAGACAACATCGTCTTCCTGCAGTGAAAAGATGGCCGATGGCGCGACAGTTTCCACAAACCCCTCAGAGATATCGTCGTGCAGAGGCGTGTCGAGATCGCCCGACGGCTCGAGGTCAGGCGTGGGATGGTTTTCTGCCGCTGCGGCCTCGTCATCACCCATTTGCGTATCTTGTCCATCGACGCAAGGTTTGGGTGGTATACGCGCGACGACCTGCAGGGCAAGTCGATCTTCAGCATTCGACTCATGCCATTCAACACAAGCATATGCTAAATTGCGGGCTACCGTCATTTTCCACTTGCGCTCCTCTCTAAAATCTGTTCTCATCCATTTCATCTCTTGGAGCATCAGATCCCAGTGCGAACTAGGTCGCGTCGGCTCCGGGCATCGTTTAAGCTGTCGCAACGACCACTTGTCATGCTGCTGCAGATGATACACCCTACGTAGCACCTTGCAGGCTTGATTATCCAGGATTGCGAGGTTTGCATCCGAAGTACCGATCGTCTTGTTGGCGTGAAACAAGATTTTTTCGATAGGTTGCATCCAGTTGGTTGCGCCGGTGAAGTTTTGGATGAAGAGTGGAGTGTAATAGTCGTCAAAGGGATGAAACTGTTCCTTTTGACCTGGGGCGAGGGACTTGTCTTCGACACGCTTGGGTTGCTTGCCGAATAGAACTGTGGAGGCTTGTCCCTTGCTGCGATCCTTTCGTGATTTAGATCTCGCCGCTGGTGATGCGGGTGCAGAAGCGGATGGGGTGAGCTGATCGTCGAGGTTCTTTGGTGTGCCGCGGTCGGTGGCTGAACGGGGGTGGCGCCAACGATTTCATTCACAGACTTGAGTCTCATAGCACCCGAGGAGACTCTCGTAACGGCACGCTCTGCAGGCACGGTTTCTCTTGTTGTTTGTGGAGTAAGCAGAGGTGGTGTCGGGTTAACGTCGATTGAATCCTTGATCGTTTCTTGCTCGTCGACATCCATTTTATCCGCCTCGTCTTGGCTGTCAGGAACCTCTTTGGCAGAAGGTACAGATATAGTTGTCTGCGGCTTCGAGCTTGGGGCCGTTGTCGCTGATACTTCATCTTCTGAGCCCGATGCAGCAGCGGACCGAATGGACTCTTGCAACAATTGATCTTCGTCGGACGTTTGTGGCTTCTGGCCAGTAGCGATTTGTTTCGTTTCGGGCTTGAGGGCAGCTTGCGCGGGTTGTTGTTCGACTTCGGGTGACCGAGGACCTTCGTGATCTGGGCTGGTGTTGGCAGAAACGTCATGCGCCGCCGTAGTCGTCGCGCTGGCCGCTGTTGAGCCCGGAGAAGACATGGCATCAGTAACTTTTGCCGCATCAGGGGGCAACTTGATGCTCAACGAACCATCAGCCGCAGGCGCAACCGCAGGAACTCCGTTTGTGACGGGGGTGGGAGTCAAGGAAGGCGATCCTTTGGTGCCAGGAGGGAATGAAACTTGGCTAGGTCGTCTTGAGGCATCGGCGCGTTGGCTTGCATGGTTCTGAGCACGCGCAACAGGCGCAGCAGCAGAGAGCTGGGTCGTGACGGCAGGCCTGGCTCCATTTTGTATGTTGGCTGGGCTCTGTACACCAGGTGTTGATCGCGCTGAGGTTGTCGAATTCGATGTTCCAGGAGTCGTGGCAACTGGGGAATTTGCAGGAGAATTGGCAGCGGCGAGTTGAGCCGAGATGGATCGCTTCAAGGCTTCAACGGATTGTGCTGGTCGCTGCGGAATAGTTGACTCGTCAAAGATTCTCTCCCTGCAACGTTGTTAGTGTTAAGGCTGCAACTTATAGTGGATGCTTCAGTGGCCGTTGCAGCGGTGGCATCGTTGGCGTATCAATGAATGATGGATCGCGACATCAAAGCAATCGCAAAAAATGCAGGAAAAAGGCCGCGTGAATCGGAGAAACATACTGCAGAATATCGTTTTTGTGCAGGAATTGCCACTCGGCGGTAGTGGCAATGGGCGCGTCGGGGAGTGCATGGGCTTGCTGGGGGAGCGGCTGGGTCTGGGTCGCGACCGCGAACAGTTCGCGAAGCTTCCTCTTGCGCGAAGTTACAATTGCACTATGGGAGGTTAGCGACATAAAAATATTATCTTTTTCATCGGAAAAAATCGCCGCATACAGCGAGAGGAAACTTACTGGCACTCATTGCGCTTTGATTGAAGCAGCCGCGATAAATCGGCGTGCCCGACCTCAGTCATAGCATCTGCTGTCGCAACATCCGTTTGCGAGCGAAACGGATGCTGCTGAGGTGAAGAGCGCGATAATGAGAGATGGAAGAGCACGTCTCCAACGATGAAAGGCGTGGTTGTGGACGCCGCGTCGACAAATTTCTCTTTGCTGTCGTGTCGTGTCGTAACTCTCAAGGCGTTGGCCGGCTAGGAAGGGGGGGGCGTACAAAATTTTCGTCCAGGCGGTTACTTAGGTTTTGGGCGGTTGAACAGATTTTGCAGGCTTGAGCCGTTCTAGCGCTTTTTCCTCCGGGGGAAACAGGAACCATCAGGGAGAGATTAGAGGCCAATTGAGCCGTGCAAGCTACTGAGGGTGCACTGTGCTCTGGTACACGCTGCTAACACGCTATTACGGCGAGTTTGCACAAATGGTGCTAGCCTGTACTCTGGAATTAGAAAGGGGCTGGTGTCGTGGCAACGTACTCAAAGTCTTTCCGCACAGTGTGCCGACACTGCTAGTGGCTCCCCCGCTGCCCCCCGCCTGCAGCTGCTAATACCCTTAACGAGAGGAGTACCTGCTAAACGGACTTTTAATCTCAAAGGACTAGGAATAAGGTATAGGTTATTAGATAATGATAATTAACTAGCTTTACTCTATTCTTTGCTATTCTTTGCTAGTCTTTTCTATTTTTTTTTTGGTCAAAAGTCACTGGCAAGGACACTGGCCTTAAGACGGCGGGCACCCGTCACCCTGTCCTGTGTGGTGTCCCACCACACACAGGTACCTACTAGGTACCTACGCCAGAATAATACAAGTTCTCTCCCACATCTCACAATTGCCCTCTTACCCGCCTGAAGCAACCATGTCCGCCATGCCCACGCTTGGGCAGTCGGTCTGCCGCCGGCTCCCCAGCCGACCGCGAGCAACACCGCCGCGCCTCCGTACGTCCACGCCGGCCTCGACCCCACGATTCGCCTCGACCTCCTCTGGCGGCTTCGTTGGCCTGGGCCGCGCCAAGACCGCCCTTTATGCCACGACTCTCGCCGCGACGGGCTACGTCGGCTACCTCTACGTGACGGACACGCGTGCCTCCCTCCTCCACCAGCACATTATCCCGCCGCTGCTGCGCACACTCTTCTCCGACGCGGAAGATGCGCACCACATCGGCTCCCGGATCCTGCAATTCCTCTACGAGGCGAACCTGCACCCGCGCGAACGCCCCCCGCGCCACGCTGCGCCCTCGAAGCTGGCGACCGAGGTCTTTGGCGCCACCATTGACAACCCGGTCGGTATCTCGGCGGGCCTGGATAAGGACGGCGCAATGACGGACATTCTATTCGCGCTCGGCGCCGGCATCGTCGAGATTGGCGGCATCACGCCGCGCCCGCAGGCGGGCAACGAGCGGCCGCGCTGCTTCCGCGTCGCCGGGCTCGACGGCCTCGTGAACCGGTACGGCCTCAACTCGCAGGGCGCGGACGCTGTCGCCCAGCGGCTGCGCACACGTGTCCGCCGCTTTGCCAAGCAAATCGGCGCCACGGAGGAGCAGGTGCTTAATGGCGAGGCCCAGGTCCCGCCCGGCAGCCTGGCCGAAGGCCGGCTTCTCGCGGTGCAGATTGCCAAGAATAAGGAGACGGACGAAAAGGATCAGGCGGCGGTAGCGGCCGACTACGTCTACTGCGTGGAGCAGCTAGCGCGCTACGCCGACATCGTCGTCGTGAACGTCAGCAGCCCCAACACGCCGGGCCTGCGCGACCTGCAGGCGACGGAGCCGCTGACGCGGCTGTTGACGGCCGTGGTGGAGGCTGCGCGCGCGACGGACCGCGCGACGAGCCCCAAGGTCATGGTCAAGGTGTCGCCAGACGAGGACGACGACGCGCAGATGGCGGGCGTCGTCGAGGCGGTGCACCGCAGCGGCGTCGACGGCGTCATCGTCGGCAACACGACCAAGCGCCGCGCCGGCCTCGTCCCCGTGGGCACACGGCTGTCGGGCAAGGACCAGCGCGCGCTGGCCGAGACGGGTGGCTACTCGGGTCCAGCCATGTTCTCGCGCACGCTGGACCTAGTCGGCCGGTATCGCAGGATGATGGACGCGTATGCGCTCGAGGGTCAGGCGACGGCGGATCGGGGCGACGCGCGCAAAACCTTGTTCGCTACGGGCGGCGTCACGAACGGCGAGCAGGCGCTACAGGTGCTCAACGCGGGTGCGAGTGTAGCCATGGTGTACACGCACATGGTGTATGGCGGCGCGGGCACGGTGACGAGGATCAAGGGCGAGATGGAGAAGCAGCTATAAAAGACAGAGCATACGAGGAAACGAGACTAGACCTGCATGTTTGTTCAAAGGCATCATTAGATAAGAAGCAATTTCATTCATTATACGCCAAACATGTGCTTGTCAGAGTTCTTGTTCTGTATAGCTAATAATAGTTATACAAGAGACGCACGTGTAGGACGTTGGATGCATAATTCTGCATCATGTTGTGTGTTACTTGGCCCGGGTTATTACAGCTGCTATTCTTAGCGTATGCACAGCTTTCACGCTGGCCTGACGGGCCACATGCTGTTCGAGCGCAATTGCACGGTGCTATCATGGCGGCATCATTACAGTCGCATTGGCGACACATCGCGATCAATGCCCACTGTATGCCTCGTACTTGCAATCTTGTTCCATTCCTTTCTTTCCTCAGTAAAGTTTGAACTACAGTGGGTGTAGGTATCCAGTAAGGCGTCATGCATCCCCAGTCGCATTAGAGACACATCTTGATCAGTGCACCCACCGTATGCCTCGCACTTGCAATCTGATTTCATTTCTTTCTTTCGTCAGTAAAGTTTTCTTTTGTCGCTGTTTTTTGTTGCTTTGTTATCTTGTGATACTGTTTGCCTTGCTGTTGCCTTGACGTCTTGACGTCTTGACAGTCTTCACACTTCGCTCCCACTCACTAAATAAACCATGACGTTTGGATTTGGGCAGCTCAAATTCAATTCAACACGCTTCATTAGGGACAAGAATCAAATTCCCGAGCCAATGTAGCTGCCTAATTACTAGTTGGCGGATAACCGTGGCTAGGGCTAACTTTTACATCAAGTAAGACTAAAATAGGTCAACAAAACCTGTTCTCCCATGGAGAGACGAAAATGAGCAGCATTTCCCTCTTACACACTACACACACCTTGGGTGGCGCGTGTTCCGCCCTCAACCGTAGTATTCAATCAGCGCAGCAGCAGCATGGAATAACTATGTAGGCAGCGTGGTATCTAATCTACAGAGAAGACAGTGAATATAATCATAGCAACTTATTAAAGAGTGCTTCATAATGTTCAAATTCTGCCAGCAGAGGTAACATGGGGGTGCCATTCAAGACTGGCAATGCAGAGAGACGGTAAGAAATAACTCAATTGCCAGAGGAAACTGGGTTGAAAATGAACAGATTACCTACCAGGAATATCAATTCCTTAGTACAACAGTTCAGCAAACACACAGTTTGCCCGACGCAAGGCAGTAGTTCAGCCACAGGCACCGCCACTGATCTAGGTCGAGACCCATAAAATAAATTCAAGATAGCCTCTCTTCACCAAACAACGCACCACAGCACACCCAGACGCCACGCGCACCATGACCGACGACAGCAAAGGCGGCCGCATCGCCATCAAGTTTAGCGCACCGTCGTCCTCAGCCTCCAAGGCCAAGACGCCCGCCTCGTCCCTCGGCAAGCGGCCGCGCAGCACCACATCCACCCGCGCCTTTGGCGGCGGCGGCGGCGACGACTCCGACTCCGACTCCGCCCGCGGCCAGCACGAGGTCATCACCGGCTTCGGCGCCAATGGTGCCGAAACGAAGCGCGAGGAGCAAGCAGCGGCGCCCAAGAGGGAGTACGTGATTGCGCGGCAGCCCAACCGTGACTGGCGCGACGAGATCAAGGAGCAGCGCGACGCGCGGCGTGGCAAGAACCTCTTGCCCGCCGAGGCGCGCGCGGCGCAAAACAGAGAAAGCGGCGGCAGCATCACCACGGTGGATACGGCGCCAGCGGACCAGGACTCGGGTATCCAATGGGGCCTCACGGTCAAGGAGAAGCAACCCCCCCTTGCCGCCGTCGACACGGCGGCGGCGCCCACGACGGCAGCAGACACCGACGACGACAAGGCCAACGCACAGCAGCCCGCTGAGCCGGTGCCTGCGCCTCGCTCCGCCGACGACGAAGCCATGGATGCGCTCCTCGGCAAGCGACCCGCGCAAGAGGACAAGGTCATTGCGACCGAAGACGACGCCTACGCGCGCGACGTCTCCCGCGCGGGCGCCACGTCCACGCTCGCCGACTACGAAGCCATGCCCGTCGAGGAGTTTGGCGCCGCGCTGCTCCGCGGCATGGGCTGGGACGGGAAGCCCCGCACCGCCGCCGCCCCCGGTGTCAAGAAGCCCCAGGAGGCCCCGCGGCGCCGGCAAAACAGGCTCGGACTCGGCGCCAAGGCGCTCAACGAGGCCGAGGACCTCGGCGGCTGGAACCAGAAGAGCGGCGCCGGGCCGCCGGGCGGCAAGAAGCGGCCGCCAAAGCTGGCGGATTACAGGAGGGAGGAGGAGAGGAAAAAAGAGGAGCGTAGGGGGGGAGCCGCTGGCGCGCGCGAGGACAGCTACAAGCGGGAGAGGGAGAGGGAGAGGGAGGACCGGCACAGGGACCGCGAGAGGGACAATGGGCATAGACATGGGCATAGAGACCGCGATAACGAGCGGGATAGGGATCGTCGTCGTGGGGATGATCGAGATCGCAGGCGGTAACCTGGTCAAAGCAAGCATTTCTCGGCGTTATTGGCTTTCATATACTACGACACCTCAGATACCAGAAAGGAATATTGTACTGGACACGCATTTTTTTTTCCATAATCATTAACAGTTCATATGTGCTCTCGTATTTCGTTATGCACAGCTATTCATGTTTGTACACTGGTTTCCCGCCTGCCGTCCTCGCCCTTCGTCCTTTATCGCAACGTCACTCTGCCCAGCGTATCCGTCAAAATGTCCAGCGTCCCGACGGCCTGGTCGACCGTGGCCCCGTCCAGCGCCGTCTTGTCCTGCGCGCCCGCCTCGCGCAGCACGGCCGCCATGTGCAGCAGGGGCTCGACGTACCTGTGCTCGACGGCCGCGGCCATGCCCGCCGGCGCCATGTCCCGGTAGCGGTCTCCAAACACAAAGACGGCAAAGTTGGCCACTTGCAGCTGAAACGGCCAGGCCTGGGCCCAAAACTCGAGCAGCGCCTCGGCATCCTGGGCCTCGTCCTGCAGGTGCGTCAGGTCCGGGAAGAGGGCGTACTGCAGCCGCTCCAGGCCCTCGGCCGTGGCAAACTTGCCGCCGGCCCCCGCCTTGGCTTGGCGGGCGGCAATGATTTCGTCCTTGGCCCAGGAGACGGCGCACGACTGCAGCGACGCAAACATGCAATTCTCTAGGAGGTCTTCGAGGATCGCGAAGCGCTCGTCTTCAGGCGCTGCGTGCAGCACGAGCCCGGCGAGGGAAATGGCCGACTGCCGCACGCGCGGGTTGGTGTGGAACACGCCGAAGAGCGTCAGAAGGTGGTGGTAGGCCATAAAATCCGGCGCGGCGCCGGGGTCCAACAGGCGCGACTGCGTGTGTAGCCAGACGCCAATGACGATGAGCGCCTCGGCGACGCCGGGATTCTGGGCAATTTGGTCCTGCGGGCTGTCGCCGAGGAAGTTGTGCAGCAAGGCCTGGTGGTGCGGGAAGATGTGAAAGTCGGGGACCGAATACTGCGCGTCAAAGAGATCCGTGGCAAACATCCAGTAAGCAACGAGCGCGGCCAGGCCGCCCGTTGCCAAGCCCAGGGCCTCGGGCTTGGCGCTATCGAGCTCGCCGGACAGCGGATCGGTGCAGATTGGCGAGGCGGCAAACGCTTCCTTGACGGCATCGGACGAGAGCTTGGAAAGTCCAACATCGCCAGCCAGTGACTATTCCAAGATTCCAAGTTAGTCCAACGGGCAGCAAATCTCGGTCTCTGCCACCACTTACCACTAATTGGCCAATCAGGCTATCCCTGGCCTGCAATTCGTCCACGTCCTTGAATGCCTGCATCTGCGTCATGCGCCCCAGCACAATCTTTTCTGGGTACGTGAATTCGAGCAGCCTCGCCGGCCACTCGAGCGCGTTGGCGTTGACAAACGCTTCCAGGACGCACGTCACAAATGACTGCAGCAGCCGCTGCACAAGCGCTGGCTCGCCGGCATCCTGAGCGCTGCCTTCGCTGCCCTCGGGGTCCGGTGCGCTTCGGCTCGCATCACCCGCTTGGAAAGACGACGTCCGCGAGACGGCGACGATGCTAGACTTGCGCGTCGGTAGCGGCGGCCGCTTCTGTCCGGAGAGTGATCGCACGAGCGCGATGACGGCCGCCGTGGCCTCGGGACTGGCGCCGTCGTAGCTGCGGTATACGGTATCTAGTGTGGTGTGCAAGAAGCGCGAGGGCTCTTTGACTCGAAGTCGGTTGTGCAAAACGACCAACATGCCACACAGGGTGACGAACTGATGCGCGGTCGGCACCTTGTTTTTGTCGCTTTTGTGCTTATCGCCAGTACCCTCCTCAGCACTTTCTTCTTCATCTTCGTCTTCTCTAGCCTCGGTCGCCCCCTTTTCCATCACCTCTAGCACCTTGAGAATAACCTCGCGGGGGTTGCCCAGATGTGCCACCCTCTCCAGGCATGCCTCGCTGCCAGGTACCGCAATCAGCATCTCGACGAGGTCCCAACCAATCTCGCTCGTCAGTTCCACGTCATCGAGAATGTCCCGCAGAGCCGGTAGGATCTCTGGCGTTAGAGACATTTCGATAATTGTGAGGTAGGTTGCCGCGTCTGTGGCCGGCGGCTTGCTCTCTTGCAACCGTTTGACGGCATCATCAGTCGTCGTTGTCGCCATGGTTCGGCAGGGCGCTAATATCTCTCTCTATCGGTATATGTGCTTGTGCAAGTGAAACAACTTGTGAACAGCCTGATGGCTTGTCTATGAGCTGAAATTTGAAAATACGTGCAAGTAATGACGCTTGCGACAATCACAAGCTCAGAGGTGGCGGGGAGCTTCCCTCCTGCCCCGCTTTAGCGATCTCGAGACACCGAACACAGGTTGAAATCGGTTACGCAACCACAAGCCACCTTTATCCATTATTCATCGTGAGACATCCTTCAGGCTCGTATGGCACCACTGAGATCCACTGTATCTAATTACGACACTGTGGACGCCGGTCGGCGCCTGTCTCCATGCTGCACAACGTGGGCTTTATGCAAGATAATTACTACCCTGCAATGGGTGATATGTGTAGCGTGTTGAGTCTGAAAACGGAAAGATATCACACGCCTGGGTGACTTTACCTCTAGACATTTCTGTCTTTTTTCTTCGATATTAGTTATATACTCGTGCTGCACATGTTGTCCCACCAGGAGGGCCAATTATAACCACGTCGACAACTCTAACAAATCTATCCAGATCGAGAGTCTACTAGCAACCTTATCCAGCTCCGGGATTCCATACGTTAAAATCGAGTGCCCTTGACCCTGTTATTGGAAGATAAGATGTACATGCTGATAGAAACGTGATCCCGCGGCTGAGGGTCTATTGTAAACTAAGACCCTTCAACGGGACGAGATGTTGTGTCACAGTGTTCATCTGGACTGTTGAGCAGTGCTCTTTACAGATGCTATACAAAATACTAATATCATGCCATTTTTACCCATTGCTACCTTATACACACAGTAATACACTAGATAATCATACAAGCCCAAGACACTCCAGACCCATGCATATAACCAAAATGGAAGTAAAAGAGCAATGCCGAACAATATCCATGTAGCACACAAAGAAAATGATAACATAAGGGGTATCCTGTACAGAGCAACACATCTCGCTACACTCTCCAGCTGGGGCGCGAACCCTTTGTCGTGTTCTTGGCCCACGTCCACTTGCCCTTGGCGCCACGGTTCGAGTTGCCCATGGCCTCGGCCACCGAAATGGGCTCGTCCATGGGCACGAGCTGCGGGTGTGCACGGTACGGCAGCACCGACTTGAGCGAGCGCTTGCTGATCTGCTTCTCTTTGGGCAATTCCTCCTTGCGCACATCCTTGATAATATCCCGCAGCTCGGCATCATCACTCACAATCTGCGCCTTTAAAAACGGCATACCGTCACCGCCCACCACATCCCGGATGGCCTGCATTACCGGCACGCGGGGCGTATACTGGATGGCATCGAGTCTCGGCGCGTGCGCCGCGTCGGGTACAATCGCCGGGTCCAGCCGCGCCGCGTCACCCTTGGCCAGCAGTGTCGCAATGTCGAGGCTCTCGCCGGGCGGGATGGCGGTCGGGTGGCTGGGCGTGACACACTCCATGTCCACCTCCTTGCGGAGGACGTGGTCGACGTCAATGGCAGAAAAGTAGGCGCACGACTGCGGCAGGTCATGGATGCCGACCTGCTGCGCAAAAATGGCGCGCGTCCACACATTGGCGACCTGCAGTGCCATGGCGGCGCGGTACCGGTCCTCGTCCTTGACCAGGTAGCGGATCTCGTCATGCACAGTAATGGCGAGGCGCGCATCAATGGCGAAGCGCCGTACGAGGTAGTCCATGGCGACGATGAGCAGGTGCAGGTAGTCGACGCCCGATGACTGGATAGCCCAGTTGATGCGCGAGGTGAGGTAGCCGCCCTTGCTGATGAAGCGGCCCATCAGGGCCTCAGTAATGCCGGCGCCGAGGACCGGCGTGCGCGGTCGCTCTTGCTCGGCAAACTCCTCAAGCTTGTTAAAGACAAATGACTCGGTGCCGCCGCGCCAAAACGGCCGCTTGTACAGCGTCTTTCGGTTCGTCTTGGTGCCCTTTGTGCTCGCGTACAATTTCGACGCCGTCTCCATCGTCTGCCGCTCTGACAGTGCGGGGTTGAACTGGCGCAGCAGAGTTGCGGCAAATTTGAGGCCGGCGCCATAGATGCGGCCGTAGTTGAACACCTTGGCGTCGTTGCGGGTGATGCCGAGGATGGAGGCCGTGCGCGAGTGCAGGTCTGTGCCGGCCGACTTGGTGCCCTCGAGTGTCATGAAGCCGACGGCGTTGCCGCCGTGCAGCTGAAAGGTGGCGTCGCCAATGAGGCTGGCGATCCATAGCTCCTCCGAGTCCACGTCGGCACCGACGAAGCTGTAGCCCGCGGGGGCGCGCACCATGGCCTTGAGCTCGGAGCCAACACGGTTCTTCTTTGCGTTGCTGGCTGTGAGCCACGTGTTTTCCACCGCGCGTCGCGTAATGGTGCCCATGGGAATAATTTGCGGTAGGATGAAGCCGAGGCCGTTGGCTGCAGACTCGGCGGACTTGTCGGCGTTGGGCAAGTCTTGCTTCCGGACCACCATTTGGGACATGATTCTGTCGCGGGCGCTGATCCAGTACGAGCACGAGGCATTCATTTCGAGGGCCTCCTTGGCATACGAATACTCCGAGGACAGTGTACCATTCTCAAAATAGGGGAGGTAGCCCTTGGCCATGGGGTTCGCGCAGCGGGCGGTAGGGCCGTCCTTGTGTGGAAGCTTGAAATAGGCATGTCGTTTGTCGTCACGCAGCGTCGCATCGGCTTCTTCAAACTGGCACTGTATCATTTGCTTGTCGATATACTTTTGCGCGTTGCAACGATCTGTTTCAAAGGTCCAACCATACTTGTCGGACCAAACGAGAGGGTTGCCATCCCAGGCCATTCTCAGCAGCAGCGGGGCGATTCGAGTTCGCACTGTAATGCTGATGGGAGCGTCATTCTTTGAAAATAGGTCCTTGTACCATTGCGGGCAGCCGGGCTTTTTCTGTCGGGCAGCCGGTCTAGGAAGGTCGCCCTTCTTTTTGCCCTTGACCATGCGAATTTCTTGGCCCGACCAGTCGAGCTGCTTCATCCACGGATCGTTTTGCCACTTTTCGGGGTCGTTTTTGATTTCGAGCGCCTTGTCCGTCAAGGCAACGAGTCTCTCTTGGACAGCGTCGGAAAGTTCATGATACGTGGCTTCGGTGTTGGCAATGTATGCGTCCCAAGAATTGTTGACGGGGAGGATGACGGAGGAAAGATGGCGGAGAGCAGCAAAGCTGACAGGGTGCGGGCAGGTGTCGAGGAAGTTGGGAAAGACAATCTTATAGACGCGATGCGTAATGGCAACGTCAGCAGCGCAATAGTCGAGGAGGGGGTCGAGCTTGGCGAGAATCTCGGACTTGTTTAATTCGCCAAAGTCGTCGCGGATAGCCTTGTCCATGTTGACGTCGAGATGAAATTTGGCGACGTCTCGCAAAGAGTTGACGGAGCTGCGCTCAACCCAGAGCTCTTCCTCTTCATGCATGCTTCTGTTGCTCAAGAGCTCGGCGAGCTCGTGGTCGGGGGTCTGGCTGGCGACTCGTTCACGCAGCTCTCGATTCTTCCTGTGCTTCATCCAAGTTGGTCGCTGTTGTGAGCACATGCCATTGACAGCAACGTGCAGTGACATTGTATCCATGAATGAGTTTCTGGTCTGCTTGATGTCGTACTCTTCGAGGATACGGGCACGATCGAAGCCGACATTGTGGCCGACGATGAGTCTGTCCGTGGTTGGATCGCCAAGGGGAATGAGGTGCTTGTCATTCTCAGTCTCACCCAGAAGCCATGGCGAGAGCCAGGCATACCAGGCTGTAGGTCCTACGGCGCAGGCCATGACGGCATATGGGCTCTCCTTCCACATGACTTCGGTATCGAAACACAGGGCGGACTCGTCAGGCGCGTCGACCTGTTCGGTACGGCCATCGGGGTAGTACTTGGTCCAGCCGCTGCGGCGAATCCATTTGCGAGGCTTGGGAGGCGCGTTGGCGCGCGAAAACTGCTTGGCGAGAGTAAGGTACGGCTCGGCGCAGTCAAGGCCCAGCTTATAGAAGTGCTCGTCGAGAGTGCGACCTTGGAGGGCAGGGAGGTCGAATGCTACGGGGGGCGCGTCGTCGGTATTCTTGCCGAGTAAATCATGGCGCCTCAGATGATCTCTGGATAATTGTACAAGTTCTTGTGGTGGAGGAGTTGCGCCGTCGGGGAATATTTGATCATAGACATGTGTGCTGAGCTGTTGAACGCCAATTTCGTTGTATCGAGCAGTGGATGGTACTAGAAGCGACTGGTTAGTGGGGAGCACGCAAGAGGTGACGCGTGGCGAGGGTCGCCGGACATGACATACGGGCGAGAGATTGGCTCTTTTCGGATCTGGCATCTGCGGTGACAGATGCGAGGTGTCGCGGACAGCTAGTCGCAAGTAGTCGACAGTTCGCGCCATGTCGCACGAGGCGCAATCTGGCGGACGCGGCACGCTGGAGGTGGCCGGCGGCAGGATGAAAGGCGCGCATTGCTATAAATCCGTCATGTCGAGCGCCGACGATGCAGCATAACGAGGATGAAGAAGTGATGGAGGGGAAAGGGGTGAGCCTAACTAATGGCGGGGGAGAGGCGGGAGGTGAACGCGTAGGTACAGACAGGTACAAATTAGTTGAAGGGGGTTTTCGGTTTGCTGCGAAATTGGTTAGCGCGAGGATGCATTTGACAGGGATGGCGAGGGGGCTGCTTACCCTGTATCTGGAAATAGTGGACCCGGCATTCGTGGGGCATGCAGGGCGGCGGAACGGAGCTACAAAGCCGGATGGACAAAGCGAACGCAGCGAGGCTGCGATAACTAGTTATAATGTTGGGATTTATTAGAGTGTAAAGGGAGGGGTTGGCAGTGACAGAAACTGTCGCGGGTCGAGTGCTGTGCCTAAAAACAGCCCCCTCGGGTACCTACCTATGTACCTGTATACTTGTAAATGTTAGGTACCTTGGCTCAACATGGCTACATTGACTGTTGTGCATCTTATTACGACATCTGATGTGAATGATAAGGCATAAAATATATACGCGATGATTTGTTACAACTTATGAGATTGTGAAGTACTCCTTTATTATGTAGCTCTGTAGAACGTAAGTTTGTTACTCGGGCTTCCATACCTCATATCCAGGTAGGTACCTAGGTAGGCAGGCACTTTCTTACGTACCTACCTATTCTTGCGCTGAGCTACATATGGCCTGGCGCTCACATCAGTATGGGTGACCATCACAGGCGTCGTGACGAGGCGTATGTACAAGCCAATACAAACCACGCGCTTCTGTTGATAATGGCCGGAACATCCTATAGCTGCATAGACGACAAAAACGAGAAAAGAATAACTATAAATTCTCGTCGAGAATCATGAGAGCCAAGTTGTCGACTCTTCCATTAATAATTACTGCCCAGATGCGGATCCCCAGCCGATAAATAGTGCCTGACCACCTCGCCTTTGTTTTAGCGCCAGCTTTTGCCTCGTGTGGGCCTCTGAGTACTCGTGAACAAATGGCCACCAAACCGCCATACAATGCTGCTCAGAATGACATGGAACTACCGGTTTCCCGCCCTGGCTCTGCGGCCTGAATCAACCGTCCTTCACCTTCTCCCCTCCCCACCACCGTCCCTCGGAAATCCTCCTCACCTCTCTTGCCTCACGCAAAACCCAGACTGGGGCGTTGTCGCCATGATTCCCGACCCTTTCACCTTTGCCCCGACAACAGCACGACTTCTCCTAGGCTAACATTGCCTGCCTGCCTCTGGCCCCTCATCGCGGGGCTTGGCCGCCACCACCCTCCGCGCCTCACCACAAGTACATCAGAAAACTCCTGCCTTCACTTTGCCGCTACCGCCACACCAGGCACCCAGGCCGCCGGCCACCATGTCGCTTGCTTCTGCGTCGCCGAGGAGAGCCTCGCTCGACTCCGACATCATCCTCATATCGACCTCGCCGCTGTCCACCGCCACCCGCACTCCTCACCACCACCAGCAACATCGGCATCATCAAGCCTTGCAGCCACCCGCCACCACCACCAGCACCTTGCCACCTGCCCGGTCCTCGTCACCGCGGCACCACGCCCACGTCTCCTCAGCGCCCCCCAATACCCACGCGAGCCCGCCAAGCCATCTTAGCAATCCCCTCTCGCCACTGCCCCGACGTCGCCGCCGACACTCGCCCTCGCAGCAGCAGCATCGTGGTGCCACGCAACCCGACTTGAGAATAGCAGGCACCAGCCCTTCGCGAACGCCGCCTGGAGCCACGCCTTACGACGAGCCAATTATCTTCTCCGAGCTGCTCCGCGACGCATATCAACCCTTACGATTCCCATTGTTGCGCATTTCGCCCGACGACGACTTGTACCAAGACGACAGCTACATCGACCCTCACCACGCCGCCACGACCACTACCCAGACCAACGAGCACTGCATGGGGCGCGCAAACGACGCACCCGATTCGCCCTCCCAGCAGCTGCTGGCCGGTCCCTCTGCCAACACCACGCAAAATACCGACTTTTCACTGCCCGAGACGCAGTACTCGCACCTCTTCAACGATGGGTTCGACGACATGCAAGGCACCGATACAGCAGCCACGTCCTTCTCCGAATCTATGCCGCCACCGCCTACGCTGCGACGCGGGCCGTCAGATCAATTCCCACCGTCGCCTCAGAGGCAGCGACAAGGTCAAACGGGGCGTCGTCGTGAGCCCAAACAGGAGCCCGTCAAACCGCTCGGCCCTAACGAAGACTTGTTTGGGGACCTTGTGACCGTGCCGCCGGCCGCGCCCAAGAACGTCCTCGACGCCGATGACCTCCTCACCTTTGACCTGACCGAAGGGGCCGACATCCCCCCAGAGCTGAGGCCGGCCGTCATTGACAACCGTGTCAAGATTGCCGCGTTTCAATGTGCCATCTGCATGGATGACGTCGCTGGCCTGACAGTTACGTATTGCGGTACGCTTTCCCATGCCCCTCTCCTATCCAACCTGCTCATGCCCGCTCAATTTCCTTACTGACGCCGTATCAGGGCACCTCTTTTGTGCTCAGTGTCTGCATCACTCTCTCGACGTCGAGTCCACCAAGGGTAAGTGCCCAATGTGCCGCTCCAAAATCGACATGAAGCCTCGCGAGTCCTACAGCAGCAAGACAAAGGGTTTCTGGCCCCTCGAGCTTAAGCTCATGACGATGACGCGAAGAGGAAAGCGAAAAGCCGACGACATTTCCAAATAGTTGTTGCTCCCCTCCCCTTCTTTGCCTGTTTCTTCATCCTTTTTTGGCTGTACAAAAAGACATTACTGCATCGGGCTACGCGGCGCATGGCTTGGACTTTTCCCACTTTCTCGGTCCAAGTGGCGAACATTATAGACACACCCATATTCTTCCTCTCTTTTTTTCACAATGGCATAGTTTTGGGCGTTTCATTTTCTCCAGCAAGGGAAAAGGCGATATCGGATGCTGGCTCGTAACACGGGGCCTTGGCTGAGCATTCTGGCAGGATATACATACCCCTTTCCTCGACGGCGATATCCTCGCGTTGAGACTGAATTTTGGCGTTTAACTTTCTCGGCGTTGGAGGCACGCGCAAGTGAACACTCTTCCTTAGTGTACATATATTTCTACGGGATATAGGCTAGAACAAGCAGCATATTTGCTAGAATGAGCAGCCACACAGTTTCCTTCGCTGCGATGACCGGGGCAAATTCCTACCTGTTTCCCGCCGTTTGTCAATTATCTCTGGTCTTGCTGCTTGAATGTTTCTTCGCTATCCAAATTTTCACCTAACTAATACAGGAACTACACAGATCAAATCGATGACATGCTAGGTCTCCCAAGGTATCCACGTGAACGGCCGTTCCCAAGGTACTTTGGTTTTACAAATCAAAAAATATCTTCTTGAAATACTGTGTCCACTGCAGGAAAAAAAAAGGTACAGAAAAAGGGACTAATATTTGAAACAAGAAAACTCCCGTTACCCTTCTTTTTCGTGTCAACGCCCCCCTCTCTATCAAACACTTTCAGCGGGCAAGCATCCTAATGGAAGAGTTTGCGGGTGGTTTTTAGCTCCGGAATCGCCTCGTTATCAAACTACGCAAACAGTCAGTACTTCATTCTCTCTTTTTCCTTTACAAGTTTGTTGTTTGGCCAATGTGCAAAAACTCACCTCGATGAATCCCGTCGCGGCAATGACCACCATAAAGGCATCCGCCAGCTCCTCTACCTTGTTCTCAAGCACCCCGGTGCCGTCGGCGCCGTCCGCGTGCGCGCCAATGCCCGCGCTGCGTTTGAGCGTGTGCGCGACGAGCATGCGGTGGTCGGTGAGGAACTTGCGCCCCTGCACGATGCTGTGGCTGCCGCGGCACAGGAGCGCCGCACCAATGATGCGCACAATCTTAGCTAGCAGGTCATAGTGGCGCTCGAGAGCACGCGAGTCGTCGCCGCGCAACTGCTGCAGCTCCGGGTCGGCCGCAAAGAGGCCTGACAGCTCGACGATGCGGATGATGCTAGCGTGGAGCACGTACTGCGCGCCCGCGCGCGTCTGCGCCAGCTGCAGCAGCAGCGCCAACTTGGCGTCGAGGTGGTTCTGCTGGCCCGCGTCGCCTCGCGCACACACGCCATGCCAGTCCGCCATGACGCTGCGCAGCGTGTCCACCGCGATGCCGATGAAGTTGAGCCGGTTCAGCATGTCCACCACATACTCATCGCCCTCTTGTCGGCCCACGTTGACGAGCACGTTAAATAAGATGTACACGGCCGCCTGGCTGCTAGGCTCGCCGCAAATTGCATCATCGCACATGGCGCTGATGAAGCGCTCGCCGTAGACACGCACCGTCTTGATGATTTGCATGTTGAAGCTGCTCTTCGTCTCGTCGGGTGCCCCAGTGATGTATCGGTAACAAATTTCGTAGTAGACGGCACGTAGCTCTTGCCCGCCCGCCCACTTGCTGATGGCTTGTAGGCATATTTCAAAGAGCTGAAATAACTTGTCGTGTATGAGGTTGCCAATGGCCCTTCCTTGCTTGTCGGCTGTGCTCGATTCCTTTAGGTCTAGGCGCGAAAGCAGAATCCTGGCGAGGTTGGCGAGGTCCATGGCCTCTACCGGGCGGTCAGAAGCAAATAACTCTAGGCTGGGAAGAATGGCCTGCAGCGTTTGCAAGAAGAATGTGGTGCGGGCTGTTCCCTCAAAGTCGTTGCACTCAACCATGATGAGAAGCAGTTTCGTCCACGACCTCAGCACTTCTAGGCTCTGTCGAGCTAGCTGCTGCTGGCGATCGGTCGATGCCAGATGCTCGTGAATCATTACCTCTTCCCTTTCAATTGCCGCAATACTCTGAGTTGTTGCTAATACCTCCTTGAATTGGCCTCGGCTCTTTTCGTTTCGCTTTATTAAGAGCATTTCCTTTACGCGGTCGAGGTTGTGCATGCGGTTGCCGTCTCCATCATCCTGTAAGCAAATTGTGATATCGAGATCTTGGTAGAACTCTATTTGAGGGTTGGGCACTTCCCATAGATTTGATGGTAGTGGGAAGTCGTACAAGTCGAAAATTGTAGGCGTCTGAATGCGCTCGTTCTCATCGTCGAGTATCTGGCCATTCAGCGCCTCGAAAATACGTCGTTTGACGCTTGGCATGCGGCCCTGCGATATCATGCACAGCTCCATCGCAAAATACTCCAGCACCATCCGCCTCAAGACGAGAAAGTCTGACAAAGCAAGGGATCCGGACGTCAACGGGAAGTACGCCACGGCCACGTCCTGACCCTCCCACGGAATGTTGGGTTGAATGATGGTCTCGCGAACCAGCAGATGGAAAAAGAATTCGTTGTCCCGTAGTTCCTGTATGACAAGCTTTGATGAGAGGGGAGAGCTCCAGAGTACCTGCATAATGCGCATTGCTCTGCGTTTGAGTGAAATGAGCGGCCCCCTCATACCTTGAGCATCCGCCGAGGGCAACTCCATCAATAGGCTTATCAAGGTGTGGAATAGCGAGAACCTCTTAGCGAATGCGCCGCCATTTTCAATTGACAGAGAGTCAGCGCCGCATTTGAAGCCTAGAAGCAAATGTGCAATTGTTGGACGTTTCGGAGTCTCTTTCAGGCATTGTAGGAGAAAATCAAGAACATAGCACTTTGTGATATAGCTTGTCGAATCAGCCTCTCGGCCAGGTTCCAGGGGAGCCTGTAGCTCGGAAATGAAGGCTCTTGCTATGGATTCGTGCTCGCCATTGGCTTCCATTGCAACAACAGCCTTGTTCCGATGACCAGCCCGAGCCGAGCCCGACCATTCGGACGCGATTCTAGAAGAAGACGACATTCTACCGAGAAGCTGTAGACATGCGAGCGTAAGTTCAGAATGACCGATGCCGCAGTAGTTGCCGAGGTCCACTACCAAGCTCAGCCGTGTGACAAGTCCATCTCCAAAAGATGCGTATGGGGCATTAGCAACCGGCTGTCGTTGGGGGTTGTTCTTTTTTATTAAAGGTCGCACCAAGTCCAGATACGTCGTCTCGAGATCCATGACCTTGGAAATGAGCTCGACGGCCCGGAGGACACCCAGAATGAGGGGCGAGTCAGGAGCCGCATTACCCACTTCCATTGGCGTTTGATGGATGGAATTGAAGAGAGCTGTCATCACTTTGTCATTGTACATCCACTCCATAACCCTGGCGAATGGATGCTTGGTGACATATGTTGCCAAGTCGACCGTGGCAATGGAGGAGTCAATAGCAAGATTGGTGGCATTAGCCATGACGATGAGGTCTTCGTTGAACGTATTCAGACAAGTCAACATGAACTCAAGGCATGTGAGTCGTAGAACTCGCGTTTGGTAAATGTCCTGGAGATCTTGCGACTTGGTAGCAAACACTTGGCCGACAACGAAGTCAACATATGCTTCGATGCCCCGGGCGGATGCTCCGAGAGTGTCACCAAATGGAAGTGAGTCATTGAGGGGACTCTCATCAACTGCAGGTGATACTAGAGCTAACAGAAGCTTCGTAAGCGCTTCCGGCTCCTCGAAACCGTTGCTCATCTCATCTAGAATGCGATCCATGGAAACAATAGGCTGTGCCTGCCCTTGCCGTAAAGATCCACTTGGATGTGCAAGAGGCTGAGTATATTGGCCCGTACTCCAATTGTCCAGGCACAGCCACATGAGGTTGCTCTCCTCTAACGTTTTTCGCGTAATCAACGCTTTCAGCGCCATGAATATACAGCCGCGGAGTCGTGATGGTATTTGGCTACTGGCAAGCTCGAGAAATTTGTCAACAACGGAATATTCGGAATTCCGTAGCAAAAATTGTCGGGCAGTCTCGCTTTCAGATGCCAGTTTGGTCATGAGCCGTAGGTAGCATTCCAGCATCATTGCAGATTCAGGCTCCGTCTCCACCACATCTGTACTGGGTTTCACGTTACGGTAACGTGTCGTGGGTGTGGCCATGGGCTTTTGCTTAATCTTTTCCGCAAAGAACTCTAGCTCACGGAAGATCTGCGACCACGTAAGCGATTGCGTTCGTCGCATCTTCCCAGACGAATGATGACCCTCATCTAGCAGAAACTCGTGGGCTGCTGTCGCACACTCGTCGTTTTCAGAGATTGCTTGCAGCATTTCGCAAAATGCGGCGACCAGCGGTGTCGATGCGCGCCGCGATGCCCAGTGCATAAAACCGGCCATATTGCTATCCGGATCTGTCCAGAAAGCAGCCGCCGAATCGGGACGGCGTTCATAGGCGTATGCAATTATCAGGAGAAAACGCTCTAGGTCGAGGTCCTGCTCATGGACTTGGCTGAGCTGGCGTTGCTCGTCTTCCTCAACTCGGAGTTTGCGTAGAACATCAGGCATGTTGGAAATGAAGGACTCGACGAATAATTCCAATTGGCACATGAAGCGCAGCTGAAGGTAGTCGGAGAATTGAACAACATCGGCGGGAAGTGGCGTCGACTTTCGTTGTAGCCATTTGCGCATGCCTGCTCGGACAGGGTCATGCCAGTCGGGTGCGCGAACATCTGTTGCAGCGGTCAACAGAAAATCAAAGGCGCCATCCTTCAAGGCATCCACAAAAGCCTTCGACCTCTCGCGATCTTCCTTGACTACCTCAGAGTCAGGCAGGCCAGACGGTTCGTCGGCCCAGTAGCCCGAATACTCTGCCAGCCACCAGGCCTTGAACGCGGCCTGAAGGTACGGCAGTGGCCAAGCGGAGTCATCCGCGGCGGCAAAAAGCTTCGAATGAATATCTTGAGCTCGGGTGAGATCCATACCGCTCTCTGGAGAGCCGAACTGGACAGTGAATGCACCAAGAGCAGGCAGTAAATGTACTAGCAGGCAATCGTATTTATCAGTCCGCTTCAAGATACCAACAAAGTTCATGAAATCAGCGGTTTCAGCCTGCCTCTTGGAGACGGCTCGACAGAGAATCACAGCCAAAGATTCATGCTGCTGAATAAGACTGATGCGCGAATACTCGACAGTCTCCATTTCCTCGGACATGATAATTTGCCCCATTGCCTGGGCGGCCGCAATTTTGTCGCCCAACTTTTGCAAAGATGTTTTTATTTCGGCCATAGCAGTCATGTATCGTGGTACGTTGCGCTTCTGACCAGTCGCGCTGGCTTGCAGCATACGTGCTTCGACGTAAGCTTTGATGCCATCGAGGGGAGTCGACTCCTCATCGTTGTTTTCGAGTGAGTAGATTTCGAAGAGAAGGCGCAAAATGTCGAGCGCGTATTTTCGCTGCTGATGAAAACGAATGATGGCGCATTCAAAAAGTGGCCGACCGAGTATCGGAATGTCATCATGAGAGTCGAGAAGGAAACGCGCGGCATCAAGTTCTTCGATTTCGAGCTCGTCCGCGAGGATCAACGCGTCTCGCTGGAAGTCGTCATTGATAGAGAATTCGGTTCCGTCGAGAACAATTTTTCCTGTCAAATGTCAGCAAATTTTGGGAAGAAAATATGCCTGGGGTGTCCTGGCGTACCAGACTTGATCGAGTTTCTGCTCTCTTCGCTCCTCCGTGGGCGCTCCCACACTCGCTCGAGCTCACGCTCAAAGTTTTCGACGAGGGCTTCGTTGTCGATGGTACTCCCGTCGCCATGACCTTCGTTTAGAGCGACAAGCTCTCGGTGGAACGCCTGCAGCGCATCCAAAATCGTCATATCGGCCATTGTGGCAGTCTCAATCCGTTCGCATGGTGGGATAGGAACGCGCGACAAGTTCAACAGGGTGGCAGAGCTTCGCGACGCGGTTTTTACGCGCAATATTGCGCAAAATGTCCCACAAATTTGTGTGAGGCGATATCTGTAAGTCGGGGAGCTAATAGATTCAATGCTGAAATAGGTTATTGCCGTCAATCTGCCGATGTTGTTGATGTTGGACTGCCCAGTAAACAAGAGTTCGTGGGCGGTGAAGATTTCTGCCGCCACCTCGGAACCGCCAAGCTGGTGAGCAACGGCCACCCGTTCTATGTCTGGCGTTTGTACCTACGTAGCTACCTAGGATGGTACCTAGGGAGGCTGCACAATATGTGCGCCCAATACTGCTGCATATGTCTACTTGGGACAATAAAGGTTGTCTATTTTGGCCGTGTAAATTTTCAGCCCGACAGCGTGGATATGCCTACTGAAAACACCACGACGTGACGGAGACTGTGTGTTACTGTTGGCCAACGGCCGACGACGACACTATCGCTAAGAGGTACCTGCTACCTAGGTACTTAGGAATATAGGTATAAAATCAAAAGAAATAGAAGCTTGGCGCTTTATTAAAATAAAAAAATAAGGAAGATTCGGCAATAAAATCAGAAAGATAGCAAGTTAAAAAGTATAAAAGAATCAAGAATAAATAATAATGATTACAAAGATGACAAGAATATCAGGAAGGTAATAGACTCACTAACTATTACTAACCGACAAACGGAGTAGACATAATTGCAGAGCTGCAACAGCACAGCTGCGCTTTTTTATCTGGATGACTAAAGATCATGTTATAATATTTTGAAGAGCTAGACTTCCGGAATTTTATTTTATTTCTATGGACTTATTGAGTACCTACCCGGGCACACGATCCAGATTGTAGCGTCACGTGTATGCAGCCTGTCTTCATGCAATAATCTAATGAGCAACCAGGCTCACCACACCAACGCCACGTCTGGGTCAACACCACACAGGTGCAACCTCACCATGTCTTCGGCATACACGGTGAAAACAATTACCAGTTGGTAGCTCACCAAACTTTCGACTGAACAGCAAGCTAACCGCATCAACGTAGCCGACCTCGCCGCTGGGGCCGTGAAAACACGCGACAAGGCCCTGGACGACCTGAACCAGCTTCTGAGTCGCAACAACGGCGCCGTTGATCTGTCAGAACTGGGGGACAAGGCCTACCATGACATCTTTGAAGCTCTTTTTAAGACAGTTCTTGAACAAAAACCGAAATATTTTGACAAAAAGACTTCAAAACCCGCGGAGCTTCGCCTAAACAAATGCGCGAGAGCTGTACGAGCCGCAGCCAGCCGGGGCGCTTCCAAACTTAAACTAAAGACGCTTTCCGCTGTCATCGATCACATCACGCAAGTATTGCCGGGGCCGAGCGATGGCTTTGTGCGCCCACTGCTCAATGACTACGTCAAGGCCCTCACAGAACTGCTGTCCCGTGCTGCCAACGTGGAGTACTTCTCACGCAACGGCGGCCAGTTATGGCAGATATGTGCGGATTTCTTCCTCGAGGTCATTTCCAACCGCATTCCACAAAATGGTTCCATAGATTTGGGTCTGATCGGGCGCAATTCACCTGCTCCCAGCACACCCCGCTCTACGTTGCGATCCAATTCGGGCTCTCTCTTGAGTCAGAAGCCACCAGAAATTGCTGATGGTGAACCAGCCAGGGATGCCCTGGAGGGCCTACTTTGCCTCGTGGCTGCGCCGAATGCCCACATCTTGAGTCGGTCTCAAGATATGGCTAATGCGGCTCTGAGAGTATTGCGTCTTCACAATCTAAGCCTCGGCTCCCTGCAGACAATGAGTTTCGCCATCATTAACGTCGTATTATCGGCAACACAGTTAGATAATCCAACCTACACCGGTAGTCTTGTCCAAGATCTTTTGCCTCTGATGGCTCACTGGTGGAGAGCAGATAGGGTATCACAAGACGATACCATCAAGTCCCTGCGGAACGAGATTCTTAGAACGATACTGCTCTCGCAATTGCACATTGAAAAGTTGGCCGTCAACAAATGGAATGACGGCGTGAGGGAGGACATTGTCTACTTACTGGAGCCTTTATGGCAGGAATATTCGAAACGAAGCCCAGGCAACCAGCTAAAACTCGGCGACATCACATTCGCGACAGACACCCTCCCGAAAGATTATCTACAAATTGGAATCTTTGGACTGAATCCATTGAATACGGAAGCCGAGAGCCAATGGGGCATCATTCAGTGCATAGCCTCCCTGGAGGCAATATTAGGACGACCAAAGCCGCAGGCCATATCATCTCAGAGAACTGAGCAACCACGGAAAAGACGTCGAGTTGACCAATCAAATAGCCGGCTTCTAGCTCGACTCAAAGATCGACGGAGAGAAATTGTACAGACAGCTCTTCAGGCCATCCCTTTTATCTTGACAACTGGTGCGCTCAACGCCGACGAGGTTCAGGATTTGCTCCTAGAACTGGTCAGCTTAACAACGCACAAGGATACCTCTATTGCATCCTGGGCGCTAATTGCATGTTCGAGCTGCCTCCAGCTTTCAAACGCAACAGCCAAGATGATTGACGACTGGAAGCAGCTTTGGCAAGTTGCAACAAGAGCTATTAGCTTGCAAAGTACATGTCGCGCCGCATGTCTTCTCATCCATAGTCTACTGGAAACTGAAGTTCTGCCGCACCATTCTCTATCAGGCGACATAAATAGCATTACAACAACGGCCGATGTCAATGGACCTGCTGTACTGTGTGATACATCTATTGCGCTCATGAATCATCTTCTCTACGTGAGGAATACGATTCTGCCAAGCGCCAGCCAAGCAACATCCAACCACATTATACGATGGGCCTTGCGGCTTTGGAATCCGGCAGACTCTTCCGCATCTTCACCACAAAGCCAGTCGCTGCGGCCGATCAATCTCGTCAATATCCTGCGATCATGCTGCGGTATGAAGCCAGTCATCGGTAACAAGCAAGATTCTGTTATTGGTGGCGGATTCTGTGAGACTTGGAAGCTGCAAAACGATATTGGCCAGTTTAACGAGTATCTCCTCCTGCTTGATCACGAATCAGAGGTATTCTGTCGTGTTACCTGTGGCTATCACCCTTCAATCGAGACAACCGGAACCCCGTCCGACTCCAACACACACTTCCCATCCAAGAAGCTTTTACTGGAGCTCCTGTTTCCCAAATTTGAAGAGCTCAGCGCGCTTTGCACGTCCTGGTCCAAGAAGCCGAATGAGGGCGGTAGTCAAATATCTCAGGGAAAATTCGAAAGTCTCCTTTCTGCTTGCATTGTCGGTGCAATGCTACTTCCTGAAATCTCCTACCTGAACTCGAGTCAATCTGCTCTGATAGAGGGTCTGATTATGAGCAACGCCGAGCGAGGGATCACACACGCACTCGCCTCCGTGGATGCAAACTCGTTTATTCAGCAGCTCCTTCGGAATATTGAACCATGTATCCCAGATCTAACAAGCGCAGGAATGGATAGGCTACATGGTGAAAACGAGGCTCTTCTCCGACTGCTTACTCTTGCATTTGATATGCTGAGTAAGCATGATATGCCAAAGGATCCGACCGGAAGTTATGATATGATGGAGCTAGATGACGAATTCGAATCTCAGAGCAGCCGTGCTATGAACTTGACTACATCAATATCGCTTCCTCGTTTCATTCACCAAGTTTGCCTGAGTCCGGTATGCTTTTACATAGATACTCGCTGTCGACTTTGTTTTGTTGTCTCCTCACAGCGCGAAGAGAGTCAAGTTGGCCTTGTGTCGAGTGCCTTTATTGACGAGGTGGTCAGGATGTCGGATGAAGAATTGTTGTCGTGCTACTCGCTTTTGACCGAGCTGTTCAGCTCTGATCTTGTCGTCGACTCCGACGGAGCATTGGCAATTCTACAGAGACTGGGGCAACTAGTTGGCAGCAGTGATTTCCGATGCTGCGAAGTGGCCCTTACCACCTGCGTCGAGGTCATGCATGGGCTGTGTAGCATGTGGCTCAACGACAGCGGCGAACTGTCGAACAGCGTTGGTGACTTGTACCACTACTTCACTCAAACTTGCCTCGAAGCAAAATCCTTTTCGCCACGAAGCCTGAAAGCGCTGTCTGCGTTTCTCTTTACCTTACTGAGACTTCAGCCCCGCTATGGTACAAGCTTGAAACTAGACTCTTGCCGAACATCGCTGCTATTCATTCTCCGAGAAGGCACCATGGACGTCAAATACTTTGTCGCGGAAAGAATTGCAGAATTGTTTGAGCTGTATATTCTTATGCTACATGATGAGGTATTTGTCGATGTTCTTGCAAGCCTGCCGACGGATCCAGAGAGTGAGGCTGGGATAGCGTGCCGACTACTAGTGCTCTCTAACCTGGCACAGAGGTGGCCAACTCTTTTACGGCGCTGTACATATCATATCTTCGAAACTCCCGGTAAAATCTCGTCCGTTTCGGAACACGCTCGTCGCTGCATCGCGGATATTTCTCGTTCACTCAATCTGGAGTCACCAAAAGAGCTCTTTGGGCTATTTACTCGCCAACTGCTATACACTTGGATGGAGAACGATTCTGTAGATGACATTCCCTTTGCAATCTTTGGGTTTGACTCTCTAGGTGAACTCTTGACAAGCTCCCAATCAGACGCCATTGGGCTATCCACCATGAGAGGCCAGAGCAGCGTGCGAAGCGACATTGCAAGACACATTGGCAGGACCGAGGCTGAGCTGCTCCAAACCAACTTTGCCGCAAGCATTAGCTACAGCACCGTCTACACCGCTGCCTTTGAGCCGTCGAGCAAAGACAACGGCGAGGCTAAAATAAAAAAGAAGATGGGAACAAGCACTTTCATGGAAAGTATTTATACCAACTTCGTCGACATTGTCGCCTTCTTCTTCGACATTATTGATCAAGAAGATGCCGTAGAGAAGGTCTTTGCGAGAAGCGAAGAACTGGTGTATGCTGCAAAGACTTACAAGGATATTACCAGAATAGCACATTCGGACACAAAACTCCCTCCAAATCAGCAGCCGATGTTCCGGGCAAAGTATGTCATTCATGAGCTGGCACGTTTATGCCAAGGGACCGAGTTCCTCTTCAAAGAACTCTGGACTTCTGCCCTGGTTGTATCCATCGCTAGAAAGCTTTTCAACACTGTGCACCCAGCATTGGGATCTTTGCATGCTTGCTCTGTTTTGCGAAAAGTGCGAGTCTTGATCTGCTTGGCCGGACCGGTTGCACTAGAGTCATACTGCTTGGAAATGTTGCTAAACTCTGTGCGAACTTTTATCACGGACTCGGAGTGTGCAGATGATGCGCTGGGAATCAGTCAATATCTGCTGGAGAAGGGAACCCCCTACCTTGAGCAAACGCCTTCTTTTTTGGCAGGCTATGCTTTGTCGGCGTTGGCTTCGCTTCGAGTTTTCTTGGAATCCAGCCAGTCCAGCACTACCCAGGAAAGCCAATTCAAAGCCACAATGAGCAAAGCCAAAAGGTTTCATGAGTGGTTGTCGGCCTACTTGGATGGCTACACATCACTGGCGTTCAAAAACGAATCGCAGAAGTTGTCGTTTAAATCCATCACCAATTCGGCTGCCCGCATACGGTCATCAGGCAACGCTGAGCAAAGCACCTTTGAGAGTAAGCTACTGCTTGACATTTTGCGGGATGGCAACGCAGAGCATGAGTTGCTAAACGATCCATCCCGAGAGCTGGCAATGGGGCTTTTGTGTGGCGACTTTACCATACCTGATCAGGCAAGTAATGATGTACTCGGTACAGACGCTGATGCCATTCTGCATGCCAGTGCAGTGTGGAAGAGCTGCAATACGAAAGAGTTGAGTGCAAACTACCTGGCTTGGGCAGGACGAGTGGTGGGTAAAGCGTTTGCTGCATCCGGAGACATACCAGAGGGTATTGTCGCGGAGTCAGACGTGGCAACCTTACGCAAAGTTGCATCTGGGCCGAATGGCTCGGAGATGGGTTTGTTGAGCCTGCTTCAGAGTTTGACTAGCAACAGCGACACCCTGACAGCTGGCCTGGCCGAATCCGTTCTGAGAGCTGCCATATCCGCCGCGGTGCAACAAGAGGATGAGCCGCTTCTCATTGCATGTCAGCGAACCTTGGCAGAGCCTTTGTATCATACGTCGCAATGGTGCCTCTACCATTCTCCACCCTCTGAGAATGTCCAGTCCAAGCCAAGTCAGGACTCGCAGTCAATTTGGGACAGCGATGTCACCTCTGAGAAGTGGCTATCCGATCTCAGCATATTGATGGCGAACTCTGTTCCGGACTCGATCCTGCTATCCGTTCTATCCCCTGTTTTGGCAAAGGTCAAAGGATTCGCAGAAAAGGCATTTCCCTTTATTGTCCATTTGGTCCTACTGTTTCAGCTAGAGCAGCAGCAAGTAATGAAGCGCTCCATTTCGGCAGCTCTCAGAACTTGGCTCCAACCAGGTGTTGACTCTGCGCGACCTAGAATCGCACTGTTGATCAATACGCTCCTGTATCTCCGCACGCAGCAGTACCCAAAAGAAGGTTCCATCAATGATCGACTTCATTGGTTGGATGTCGACTATTCAATGGCAGCGACCGCCGCAACACAGTGTGGCATGTATAAAACGGCACTCTTATTTGCGGAGCTGGCGTCTATCGAGACTGGTCGACAATCCAGACGAGCATCTGCCGCCCGCGAGAGCGACCTTAGCGCAACGCTTCTCTCCATATTCGAAAACATTGACGACCCAGACGCCTACTACGGTCTAGCGGAAGAGGCTACTCTATCGAATGTGCTCTCCCGTATCACATTCGAGAATGATGGAATGAAGAGTGTCGCATTTCTGGGTGCGCAGTTTGACAATGACATTCGGCTGCAGAACGGCTCTAGCACAGTCGATGTGCAGGCTCTTGTGAGCGCCTTGAGCTCACTTGGGCAGTCTGGGCTGTCTTATTCTCTTCAGCAAATGTACCAAGCGGTCGATACCTCATCTGCATCCACGGAAAATACATTCAAAGCTGCGCAAAGGTTGGAAATGTGGAATCTGCCGGCACCCAAAGACAGCGACAGCTTTGCGGTGACAACGTACAAGGCTTATCAAGCTATACACAACGCGACAGAGATGGCATCTGTTAGAAGCGTCGTGCATGAAGGATTTGCCAAAACGATTCGTAGTGCCATGGGAAATAACAGGCCTACCAGATCTATACTGAGAAATAAGCTCGGCACTCTTGCTGCTTTGAGCGAATTAGACGACCTGATGAATGTTTCCCGCGGCGAAGATTTGAGCAATGTACTTGGCGCCTTTCAATCACGCGGCGACTGGATGAAGCGTGGACGATATGATGATGTGAGCAACATCTTGTCCTGCAGAAGTACAACAATGAGTATGCTGAGCCAGCACTCCAACATTCTGCAGGAAGCCAGCCTATCAACTTCTGTGATGCGGAAAGCAGAGGTAGAATCGCTTTTGTTATCCTCTGGGCTTTATAGATTCCACGAAGCGACGCAAGAATCCCTCAACATCGCCACGTCGCTCTCCAATCTCATCCCTACTTGCCGAGATCTGGATTTACATGTTGATGCATCCGTCAATATCGAGGTGGCCAACTCGCTATGGGACCAAGGAGAAATGAGCACTGCTATCCAGATGCTGCAAGCCATCGATGCGGATTCGGCTTTGAGCAGACAGGCAATTCCAGTTACCAAAGCAGACTTACTTGCCAAGATAGGCGACAGATTGTCCATCGCTCGGCGGGAGAAGCCCCGCGATATCCAAAAGAAGTATCTGGAGCCAGCTCTAAAGGAGATCGGCAGCACAAACTACGGCACAGAAGCTGGGTTGGTGTTTCATCAATTTGCACTGTTTTGTGACGGACAACTTCAAGACGCCGATGGGCTTGAGGATCTAGAGAGGCTTCAAAGTTTGCGCAAAGCAAAGAGCGACGAGGTTTCAGAGTTGAAAGAATTGATTGCCTCTACAAAAGAGAGCCAGTTGCGCAAACGATACGACTATGTTCTTTCCAAGGAGAAGCAGTGGCTGGAACTAGACGAACAAGAACTGCGCCGTGTCGAGCAGACAAGAAGCGAATTCGTTCGACTAAGTGTGGAAAATTATTTGCTCTCCCTTATTGCTTCCGATGCCCATAACAATGACGCGCTGAGATTCACAGCATTGTGGCTAGAGAGGTCAGGAGAAGAAGGAACGAATAAGGCGGTATCTCGCTACCTTTCCAAGGTTCCGACGCGCAAGTTTGCGAGTCTGATGAACCAACTAACATCGCGGCTGCAATATACGGATAGTGCTTTCCAAAAGCTACTCCTCGAGTTGGTCTACAATATTTGTGTCGATCACCCATACCACGGCATGTACCAAATTTGGTCTGGCACAAAGGTCAGAGTGCAGTCCAAGGATGAAGTGGCCGTCCAACGAGTCAAGGCTGCAGAAAAGGTCGCGCAAAGACTGGCCACAACGAAGCCTGTTGCCAGCATCTGGTTGTCCATTGAAAAGACAAGCAAGTATTACCACGGCTTGGCAGTGGACAGAGATGCCAATAAATACAAGGCGGGCGCCAAATTCACCCTGAAGGAGACGCAAGCTGGGCTGAACTTGGTTATTGGACTGAATAAGTACCAGATTCCTCCGCCGACTATGCATGTCGAAATCCAATCCAACAAGGACTATTCGACGGTGCCAACAATTGCCAAGCTGGAGCCGACGATGACGATTGCGGGAGGTGTGAGCGCACCTAAAATCATCACTGCTATTGGCACGGATGGCAAAAAGTACAAGCAGCTCGTTAAAGGTGGTCATGATGATCTCCGCCAAGACGCCATCATGGAGCAGGTATTCGCTGCCGTGTCCTCCCTGCTCAAGCATCATCGTTCTGCGCAGCAACGGAACCTCGGCATCCGGACGTACAAGGTCTTGCCACTGACAGCTACCTCTGGTCTCATTGAGTTTGTGCCCAACACGATACCCCTGCACGAATTCCTGATGCCGGCGCACGAGAGGTATTATCCAAAGGATTTGAAAGGCTCACAATGTCGCAAGGAGATTTTCAGCGTTCAAAACAGGAACATTGATACCCGCATCAGCACATACCGAAAGGTGACGGATCGCTTCCACCCTGTGATGAAGTACTTTTTTATGGAGTATTTTGAGGATCCAGACGAATGGTATGCGAAGCGCCTGGCCTACACTAGAACGACGGCAGCTATTTCTATGCTTGGCCACGTCCTCGGCCTCGGCGATCGCCACGGCCACAACATATTACTAGACACAAAGACGGGAGAGGTCGTGCATATCGACTTGGGTGTGGCGTTTGAAGCAGGGCGCATCTTGCCCGTGCCCGAATTGGTCCCGTTCCGCCTGACGAGAGACATCATTGACGGCATGGGCATCAGCAAGACGGAGGGCGTCTTTCGGCGCTGCTGCGAGTTCACCTTGGATGCGCTGCGCGAGGAGCAGTATTCCATCATGACGATCCTCGACGTGTTGCGCTATGATCCGTTGTATACCTGGTCCATCTCGCCACTGCGGCTGGCGAAGCTGCAAAAGGCGAGAGACCAGGACGAAAACGTACCGCCGGGAGAGGACGCGGACGGGGTTCATCAGGCCGATAAGCTTGATAAACAGGATAAGAAGAACCGCAAGGTTGGCAAGAAGAACGTAAATGAGCCGTCAGAGGCTGACCGTGCCCTGGAGGTTGTTAGGAAGAAGCTCTCCAAGGCACTCAGCACGACAGCCACAGTGAACGATCTGATCAACCAGGCTACCGACGAGAGAAATCTAGCAGTGCTGTACTCGGGGTGGGCAGCATATGCTTAGATATAAATGTAATTTTTTGACGCTTATATATCCTATTGTTATTATTTTTATTCTCCTTCCATTTATTCTTCTCGTCTTCTCTATAATTCGACATTAGATGTTCGTCGGTGGCGGCTCCCCATGCTAACCCACTGGCGGATTTACAGCGGTCGGCTATCTTATCGCCGGCGGCCAGCAAAACTGGTGGGCGCTTTCAGTGACATAATCCAATCCAGCCACTGTCAAACACTCCGCATATTGTCCAATCTCACCATCAACGGCTAGTTACTGGCGCATGCGCAGCAGTAATCAAGGACGATTCCCGATCCAACTTCCTCGAGCCTGTATTTTTGACTCGCCGATCGCGCCGGTCCACCACCCCTCCCCGTGGCCACAGACTCGAACTCGACAGCCACCAAACGGCCGCGACATCGCGTCTGCCCGCGCGACGCTCGAGTCCAAGTGCCCTCTATGCACTCCGTTGCGGACCAGGAAATCTCGCCCTCTCGCCGCCGTCCGCGACCAGCCTCGTCCTCGTCGCTCGCCTCCGCCCCGAAGCGCCCCAAATTCGGTGACGCCGCCATGGCCAGTGCCAAAGCGCGGGGCAAGCTGCCCGAGGTGATTGACCTCACCGAGAAGCCGTCCGCCTTCCAGCCCCATGCGGGCGCCAAGAAGCTCTTCATCAAAAATCTTCGCCCCGCGTCGCTCGACGTGCGGATGGAACACTACTACGCCAAGACGGAGGAGGATCTCGACGGCGGGCTGGGTGCCATCTTTGCGGGGCGTAAACCTGCAGTGCCGCTTGAGAGGCTTTACCGCGGTGTTGAGGATATCTGCCGCCAAGGAAACGCCGAAAAGATCTACCGTATGCTGATGAAACGCGTTGAGAGACACCTGCACTCGGTCGTGCTACCTCGAATAGTAAAGGTTGGCGACATGCCGGAGGTTGATATCCTAAGAAACGTCTTGGCTGAGTGGAAGATTTGGAACCATCAAACGGTATGATTGTCACGGACTCCAGCCCCAACGTCTTTGACTAACACATACACAGGTCCTCATTCGGTCCACATTCAGCTATCTCGACAGAACGTACCTATTACGAGAAGCCCTTCCCTCGATCAACGACATGACTATTTCTCACTTTCGCAGAATGCTATTTAGCTCACAATCTGGAAACCGTAGCTTAGAAAACCACGTTATTGGCGGAACATGCAAGTTGGTGGACTACGACAGACGCGGTACGACCTGGATGGATGGCGAACTTCTCAAAGATTCCATCATGATGTTCTACGTCCAAGGTGTCTATACAAAGCACTTTGAGCCAGTGATGATCAAGACTTCCAAAATCTATTATCAAGAGTTTGGAGCCGCACGGAGCACCGATGATCTGAAGGTGTATATTGCCGCTTGTGAGAGGTTGCTAACAAGAGAAGCTAGTCGCTGCATGGCATATAATCTGGACAGCACGACGGAACGACTGTTATTGGAGCTGGCACACCGAATCCTCATCAACGACTACTCTGAAAAGTTACTAAACGAAGGAAGTCTGGCGAACCTGATAGGCGACAAGGATTTGAAGTCGATGAAGGGCCTCTACGACCTGCTCAAACTCTCTGGTCTACAGAAGAAACTAAAGCAGCCCTGGGCCGACTATGTCAAAAAGACGGGCGCGGATATTGTCTCAGACAAGGAACACGGGGACGAGATGGTCATCCGTCTTCTGGAGCTGCGCCGGTCCCTAGACCTGATGATTCGGGATGCCTTTGGCAGGGACGAAGATTTCTTGTGGGCGATGCGTGAATCATTTGGCAACTTTATGAATGATCGCACTGTGGCTGGGTGCTGGGACACGGGTACCTCCAAGATTGGCGAAATGACTGCCAAGCATATCGACATGCTGTTACGCGGCGGCATAAAGACGTTGCCCAAGTCGTTGCTATCTGACAGCCAAGACCGAGCCACTGCCGAGAGAGCAGGTCAGGCGAGCACAGCCGACGAAGATGCCGAGCTAGACAGGCAGTTGGACAACTCGCTCGAATTGTTTCGCTTCATTCAGGGAAAAGACGCTTTCGAGGCGTTTTATAAAAAGGATCTGGCAAGACGACTACTCATGGGCCGCAGTGCCAGCCAGGATGCTGAACGCAGCATGCTAACGAAGCTGCGCGGAGAATGTGGTGCCAATTTCACGCAAAATCTGGAACAAATGTTTAAGGACCAGGAACTTGCCAAGGACGAGATGGAGGCCTATAAGCAGCACTGCCAAAACACATCCGACGACAAACCGTCTGTGGATTTGAACGTCATGATTCTATCATCGGCCGCTTGGCCATCATATCCGGACATCCGCCTGAACCTACCCGACGATGTCGCCACCCAAATCGAGCGGTTTGACCGACATTACAAAGGCAAGCATACCGGACGTGTGCTGACCTGGAAGCACTCGCTGGCGCACTGCTCCGTCAAGGCCGTCTTCACCAAGGGATCCAAAGAGCTTCTCGTGTCCGCATTCCAGGCCGTCGTGCTGCTCATGTTCAACACGGCCAGCAGCGGGCCCCTGACGTACGAGCAGCTCTCCACTGGCACCGGGCTGACGGGCGGTGAGCTCGACCGCACGCTACAGTCGCTGGCGTGCGGCAAGGCACGCGTCCTGAGCAAGCACCCCAAGGGCCGCGAGGTCAAGAAGACGGACACGTTTACGTTTAATGCGGCCTTTTCGGACCCCAAGTACCGGGTCAAGATTAACCAGATCCAGCTCAAGGAGACCAAGGAGGAGAACACGGCGACGCACGAACGCATTGCCCAGGACCGACGCTTCGAGACGCAGGCCGCCATTGTGCGCATCATGAAGAGCCGCAAGAGCATGGGCCACGCGGAGCTAGTTGCGGAAGTTATCACCCTGACAAAGAAGCGAGGCAGTGTGGAGCCGGCCGCCATCAAGAAAGAAATCGAGAGGTATGTATTTTTTTATATTTATTCTGTATGATAAGGAGAGGCTAACGGGTTTGCAGCTTAATCGAGAAGGACTACATCGAGCGTGAAGGAAATGCTTACATATACATGGCGTAATAGCGTTCAAGGGAATTAAATACGGTAAATATGAGGAGAATCCTTTTTTTGTCGGTACGAGAAACTGGCTCGTGGTTGAGGCAGGCTTGTTGCCCTAGGGACGGGGCGCGTGGAATGCCATTTCGGCACTGTTGAGAGTCAGACCGGCGTTTACTTGATCTGCAAGAGAGAGGGCTTCTATATGCAGCTAAGTGTGTCACGAATATACGGACATTTCCTGATATCCTCTGCCTCTACGACGAGCGATGCTTGAGCACAAAAGTGGCATAGCGCCGTGGCCGGGCGGGCGGCAGGCGCCGTCATGACGGCATCGGAAGGGGGTCACTGCGCCTCTTTGCCCAGATCGGGCACTATTGTCACTGGGATAATCTATATCACAAGCTGGCACCGGTATCTTTTAATACTACCTACCAAAAGCAAAACGACCCGTGACTACTTTGCCACAATGGGCAAGCTCCCAAAAGAACAAGAAGCTCCTGCCGAGCAGTCCGCCGGCCCGGAGCTCCCTCCCCCCGAATACGCCGCTGCAGCCGACAGCGCCCCCGACACGCCCCCGCCGGGGTACACGCCCGGGCCCTCGCCCTACCAGACGGTGCCCATCAGCTGGAACCTCTACAGCAAGCCGTACTCGAGGCGGGCCTTCCACCTCGGCCCGCACGCCGCCGCGCCCGTCTACTCGCTCGAGCTGCACACGGGGCTTCTGTCGTCGCGGCCCTTCCTGGTGCTGCGCCCCGGCCGCGACACCACCACCACCACCAAGACATCGTCGTCGCCGCCGCTCGCGACCGCGCGCCGCGACGCCCCCCGCCACACCACCATCACCGTCGTCCCCGGCACCTCGGAGCGGCTGACCGTGCACGCCCGGCGACTGACCTTTTCGTTCGACGTCGGCGCTGACCCGCGCCGGGAGGCGTTTGAGTGGCGCAAGGAGAAACGTCGCTGGGCGCTGGTGCATCTCGCGGCGCACGGCGACGCACACCCGGTCGTGGCCGTGTTTGCGGAGGACAGCAGCAGGAGCGGGACAGAGCTGGCGCGGTTTCGCTTTGTTGGTGCCGGCGCGACGGATGCGTTTGGCGAGCCGTGGGCGCTGTACGTGAGCATGACGGCGCTGCGCATCTGGGAGATGATGCTGGGTGCAGGCACTACGGTCTGAGACTTTTTCTTTTTCGTTCTTATGTCTAGATGAGCGGCTTGTCTTTCCCTGCTAGGTTATTTCAGGGCTGCGCCCGCTGAGTAGCGGGCGGGCGACGTATAGCTTGGGCCATCATGTTGGACAAGTATTCGGCTGACATTCGGCGACGACTAATCCTATTGTCCATCGTCTCCATGTCCATTTCGCTTTTGTCATTTTTACTGTACGGTTTTTACAACTTATACCGCTGCCTGCTTTTGGTCATTTTGTTTCATTATATTACCAATACGGTTGCCTATTTTTTTTGGTTTATTTCATTCATTTTACAATGTACGGCTGCCTGCCTTTGGTCATTTTTGTTTCATTATATTACCATTACAACCAATGCGGTTGCCTATTTTTTGGTTCTATTTCATTCATTCTACAATGTACGGCTGCCTGCCTTTACCATTTTTCTTTCATTTATTGGATCAAGGATGCGGTTGCCTAATCTCTGGCAAATGTATAACTATGGCGTGATATAACGTCCAATTTGTTCCAATCGAGCTCCCATTCAACCCGAGCATCAAACATTGGGCAATCAGAAATTGTCGCGAAACAAAAAAACACAGAATATACCTCAGTTGGTAAGATAGGTGATACACTTGGCCTTTTCTTGTTTTGCTACTCCCTTGTTTCATCCTTGCAACCCCCGAGCGCATCCCTCGCATCACCCGCCCCGGAGCAGCCCCACGGGGTTCCGACCTCGGCACCACCCCGGCCCGCTTGCCCTTGACCGCTGCGAGCCGAACCTCCGTTTGATCGACTTGCCCGTCTTCACAACTTTACCCACATTGTGCCTTTTTCCTCCCTCCCCCCAACCATCGGCGAGGGCCTTGCGTCTTTCCTTTTCTTTTTTCGGCTTCCTCATTCATTTTCAATCACCGTTTGTTCCCCTGCTTTCCATTTGACCTCTTTTTTTCCCACCATGTCGCTCGAACCGCGCGCCGCGTACACGTCCGACGAGCTCGCGCGTTTGTACCCGCCGCCGCTCGAGCTCCAGCAAGTGCAGATCCTCATGCGGCACGGCGAGCGGACGCCCGTCAGCAACCGCTTCGCCGAGAGCACGGGGCTGCCCGAGTTCTGGCCCTACTGCAGCCAGGCGGCGCAGATGACGTCGCTCGTCCTCGACCCGGCCTCGTCCACCTGGACGGCGCTCGCCTGGCGCCGCCACCTCGAGACCTTTTCCTCCCCCACGAACCAGACGCCCGTCACCGCCGCTGCCGCCAACAACAACTCCTCGTCCAACATGTGCGAGCTCGGCCAGCTCACCGACAAGGGCCGCGCCACCACCACGGCCCTCGGCGCCCGTCTCCGCCGGCTGTACGTCGACCAGCTCGGCTTCCTGCCCGCGACGCTCGCCTCCGCCGACGGGCTGTACCTCCGCGCCACGCCCATGCCGCGCGCGCTCGAGTCGATGCAGCAGGCGCTGCACGGGCTGTACCCGCCGGCCACGGCGCGCGCTCCGGACCTCGCGCCGCTCACCGTCCACACGCGCCACTGGGCCGACGACACGCTGCTGCCCAACACGGCCAACTGCACGCGCTTCCGCCGCATGATGCGCGCCTTTGGCCGCCGCGCCGCCGACCGCTGGGACGCGAGCCCCGAGATGGACCGCATCAACGCCAAGCTGCAACGGTACATGCCTCCCGCCGCCGACTCTGCCGACCCCGGTGCCAAGACGAGAATCGGCGTCGCGTCCCACCCGGCCCTCGTCGGCATCATGGACACCGTCGCCGCCACGGCCGCGCATGACGGCGCCGCCACCAAGCTCCCCCGGGAGTTCTACGACGCCCAGATCCGCGCCGACAGCGTCCGCATCGTCGTCGACGAGTGGTTCGCCGGCTTCCGCGAGAGCAGCGAGTACCGCACCCTCGGCATCGGCGGCCTCCTCGCCGACATGACGGAGCGCATGGTCGGCAGCGCCGAGGGCGTGGCCCCGCACTCCAGCAGCAGCAGCAGCACCAAGACGCCGCTCCGGTTTGGCCTCTCCGGCTGCCACGACACCACCCTCGCCGCCACCGTCATCAGCCTCGGCGGCGACGGACCCGACGGCATGTCCTGGCCGCCGTTTACCAGCCACGTTGCTGTCGAGCTGCTCCGCGACACGCGCGTCGTCGCCTCGCCACCACTACCATCATCGTCGTCGTCGTCGTCGTGGGTCCCGCGCATGCTGCGTGGCGCGCAGACCATTGGCCGTCGCCCGACGTACGAGCTCACGAGCGCCGAGCGCGAGCGTCTTCGGGGGTACTATGTACGTGTGCGGTACAATGACGAGCCTGTGCGGATTCCCGGCTGCCGCCCGGCGGGCAAGCACTACGAGGACGATGAGACGCTGTGCACTCTGGTAAGCACAAAAAAAAAAAAAAAGAACCCGCGTTTATTCCCCGTTCTTCTTCTTTGGTCATGATTTTCGTTGAGATGCTAATGTGTAACACAGACGGCGTTTAAATCCATCGTGGACCGCATCACGCCGACGGACTGGAAGGCCCAGTGCGGCGCCAACATGGACAAGCCAACCATGCCCAGCAAACCGGAGCCCGCTGGCTACTAATAAAGCAAGAGATACACTTCACAGAACATGACATAGAGCTATACATCTGAAAGAACACGCATGTATATAAACAACAGAATTCACATACCCATACCAACATCCATTTACATTTACATTCTTCCCAGTGTTCGTCACCACCTCACACCAGCACAGCCTATCATATCACAGGGCACTGTTATTAACACACGACAAGTCATTGCATCAAGGCAAAGCTCGTTCGGAATTACTACTCTAGCTATACCCAAAGATGCCCAATCCATCATTCCCCCTTTTTCATCTTCAGCAAGATAGGGCTCCTCCTAGCCCTCATCTCCGAGTTCCCCCTTCGACAAACACCTCCCAAAGAGCACGTCTCCAACGTACAAACGCAACAAAGTTATAAATCAAGGGCAATGGTTTCCCTTATCCAAAAATAGACATGTCCAGAAGAAGTTCAAGTTTGAACGGCACACAGCTGAACCCACTCAACACAACAAGGCGTCCTCCACCCAGAGTGGGATATTAACGTGGGGTAGCTGGTTTTGTCAACATCATGTTGGCGATTAATAGCAAAGAATAAGGATAGAAAATTGTTGATAACATAGTGAAAGATGCAAAGACGAAAGCGGAGTCAAATATCAACAATTCAAATAGACAAGAAAGAAAAGAAAAAAGAATGGTTGTCAAGTGGGAAAGGCGATTACAAATGAGTATGAATCCTGCAGCGTCTCACACATACGCCCGGCCGTGGCTCGAGCAGATGACTTTGTCGTTAATTGGCCACTTCTTCTTCGGCCCAGCCGTTGAGGCCGCTCTGAATGGCAAGGCCGAAGCCGTTGCCACCGATACCGCCGTAGCTAGCCTGATACTGGTGGCCGCGTCGCTGCTGCTCGCCCTCACTGCCATTGCTACCGTGCAGGCTATTGGGGCTGTTGCCGCCATTTTCAAAACCAGGGCCAAAAGCAGGCAAGCTCACAGCACGGCTGTGTGAGCCGCGCCCGGTGCCAGGAGCCAAAAGACCACCAATCGTTGTCGAGCCGGACACGCCGGCATTGGTCGGGTAGCCATTGGAGATGCTAGCCGACTGGCCGTGAGAGCCCAGCTGAGGCTGGGCCATGTCAAGACCCATCTCGTGCCCAGAATTTTGAACTGCGCCATACATGGCGTTCTGCTGAGCAGCCATCTGTAAATGTTGCTGGTTCTGCTGTTGATGGGCATGCTGTGACAGCTGGCTCAGGTACATGGTGAGGGGGTTGTTATTGGCATTGAACAGCGCAGCAGACTGTTGGTTGCCGTCGTTTGAAGGAGAGCTTCCCGTTTGGGAACCACCTGCCTGAGGAGAGCCGACAGCATCACTACGTGGCGAAGCGTTCTGCTGCATCTGGCGAGGTGGGTTACCGCAGCGATCCTTGCCAAAGTTGACTTTGAACTTTTTGTAGTCATCTCTGCCACGGATGGCCTCTATAGCCTTGATAGCATTGGCAATGTTGGTGAAGTTGACGAAAGCGCAGCTCTTCTCGCGCAGCGTATTGACCAGCTCGATCTCACCATACTCAGAAAAGTCTTGGCGCAGTCGTTCCTCGGTCCAAGTTTCGTCAAGGTTGCCGACGTAGACATTACGCGAAGCACCGCCGCTGACAGCCAATGCAATCGCAGGCGGCAGAGCACCGGAGTGCTTACCCCAGCCAATCTTGAGTCGTCGGTTATGAATCATGAGGCCCTGGAGATTGCTCAGGGCGTAAAAGGAGGCGGCGGCGGTGGGGTCGATGAAGGTAACGAAGCAAATGTGCTTGTCGGGAATGTAGCGAATATGGTGCAAAAGTCCGCCGCGAACAACATTGCAAATTTCTTCGATTGTAGTCTCTGGGTGAATGTTGCCCAGGTAGATGGTGCGGTTTCCCAAGTTGTTGATTCCTCCAGCGGTAGTGGCGACGGCGGCAGCAGCAACCGACTGCTGAGCGAGAGCGTTAGATATCACGTCGCGGTCGGCGCCAGTGAGCATGTGAGCATAGCCCGGAGCAATTCCCAGATACTGGGCAGCATTTTGCTGCTGCGTCTTGGAAACGTAGGCACAACGATCCTTGCCGTAATAGACGCGGCGTGGCGCTTGCCACTTGGGCTCCTGGGGAAGTTGTGTAACGGCCTTGATGGCGTTGGCAATAGAGAGATAGTGGATAAAGGCGATGCTCTTTTCGCGGACAAGCTTGACAGTGTCAATAGGGCCGAACTTGCCAAGATCCTCGCGAATCTCGGCGTCAGTCACATCTTCAGGCAAGTTGCCCAAGTAGACGTTCCGGGAAGCCCCAGACTGTTGAACAGCGAGAGCGACCGATGTGGGAACCTGAGAAGCCTTTCCCCAACCGACCTTGATATCCTGACCCTTGATGCAGAGCTTTTTCAAGATGGCATCAGAGTGGAAGTGGGTGGCAGAGCTGGCATCGAGGAAGGAAATGAAGGCGCAGTTCTTATCAGGTAGCAGTCGAACCGACTCGATTTGGCCGCTGCGAACGTGGCCTAGGATCTCTTCGGCAGTTGTGTCAGGGGGGATGTTACCCAGGTATACGGTTCGACTTGTTCCACTGGGGGCGGGGCCGTTCATCGGCACGGGGGAGCCAGGTTGCATAGATTGCTGCATGTTGAAACCACCAGTGGGAGACTGAGGCGGGAAGAACTGAGGCGCTCCATATTGAGAAGGCGAAACCATGGCATGGTACTGCTGGGGAGACATATTTTGCTGAGTAGGGCTGGCCATGCCGCCGCTGTGCTGCTGGTTGCCCTGATGCGGCTGCTGAGGGCCTTGGAAAGCGGAAAGGGACTGGAACTGGGGGCTACCAAAAGCACCAGGGCTGCCGGGCTGGAACGGGCTGCCCATGAGGAGTTGCGAGGGGAGAAGAGGCGTAAACTGCATGTCGAAAGCGGTTCCGGGGGAAGCGACATCGGAAGCGTTGCCGCCCAGTCCCTGATTCACCTGCGTGTTAAGAGAGGGAATATTGCCGCGGCGGGGGTGTCTCTCGGCAAATCCAGAGACATTTGAGGTGAAGGCACCATGAGAAAATCCAGTATCACTGTTGGAGGGCTTGGAGGCGTGACCGTGGAAGCGTGCTGCGTTGCCGCCGTTTTGGGCGGAACCGTTCAGATCCTGCATACCAAGAAGATGAGGGGGGACGAGTGAGTCCCGCCCGGAGTGAGATAGAACAGCCGTTTTGAAAGGTATATCGTGCCCAAGTCGGACACGGACAGCGGACAATAGATCTGCGCAAGTGAGTACTTGGGCAAAGACTGGATATGCAGAAGCTCGAGTAATGAATATGTAGTGATACAGGAGGCGCGCTAGTGCGGTCGAGCAAGTGACGGATTAGGGGTGTGGTAATGCTATTAAGCTGAGCAAGGCAATGGTGAGTGTTCCAGAGAAGGAAGCACAAGATTGGTACAATTTCGAGTCGATCGGGCGGTATGGTGTGAGTACAGTATGAATCAGATTCGAAAGGGGTATCGGCGTCGAATTGGAAGATGCAAAGCAAGCTCGTCCAGGAGAGGTATGGAAAAGAGGAAAGTCGAGAATCGAACAAAGGTGTTAACGAGAGTAGTTGAAGAGGAAGTTGAAGGTAGGTTAATAAAACAAGGTGCGAATCGGCATCGGAACGCGAGCAGCGAGGAAGCAAGCGTGTCGAGAAGATTGAACAAAGATAGATACCCCGGAGCAGCTGACAAGCAGGCCAAAGATGGTTGAACGTAAAATTGGACGAGAGACGAGACAGTCAAGGAGGACAAGACTCGGCTCGATCGCAGCAGCGCAATGTTAGCGGTAAGCAAGATTGCAGAAGCTGGCGAGGAGAAACGTGAAGGAGGGATTGAGGCGGGAGCCAGGAGACGAACAAAGAGGCAGACGGGCAAGTGTCGTGCAGGCTCAAAGTAGACTAGACGGGAGGAGAGTCTAGCAGGGCCTGGGGCGACCAACCTGTGACGGGTGAAGGGGTGGGCAACCAATGCGGTTTGGCGCTGCGTAGTGGTGTGGTGTGTATCCGTAGAGTCGTCGAGGGGTGATGATTATTGGTGGTGATGGAGATTTGATGGTGGGCACAATGGTAGGTCAAACAGGGGTCATGGGTTGAGAAGAGAAAGGCAGAGGAGAAGCAGCAGATGAAGGCAAGAAGGACCAGACCAGGCAAAGGAAGAAGAAGGATAGAATAAATGCCGGTGAAGGGAGAATGCTGGGGTAGTTAGAGAAGGAGAAAGAAGTGGTGGGTGGTGAGGAAAGGCAAAGAGATGAAGCTGTGAGGAGACAATCAGTCATCCATCCAGGGGCTTAAAGGCTTTGGGCTCGGCGCTACGTACCAGTTTTGCTTGGAATTCAGTATTGGTGCTATGTAGCTAGCGGGCGGCAAGTACCCTGTGTCGAGGGCTCCTGGTCAACGAGGTACCTGATGGTTCTCCAAGCGGTGCCTGGCGGGTGGAGTTGGAGAAGAGTGGTACTTGCAGGTGCCAGGCGGCAGGACAGTTGGGACGGGGCTGCGGGTAGGGATTGGCTGGGCGTTGGGAGTCTGGGACCGGCGTGCTTTTGGGGGCATTTTAGCGGTGGCCTGGTTGGGTGGAGGCAAAGGGTAAAGGGTGCACAGTGTGATCACCTACCGGTGGCCGTTTAATGAGGTGCGGCAGGGGTAGAGGTGTGGAGAGGAAAAATTACAGATGATTCGGAATTGAAATATTGATAATCTGTACATAGTACGGAGAGCAGTAACTAACTAGTTCCCGAGTACAAAAAGTACTGGTATGTAGGTGTAGTTAGCGCGGGGAACAAGTTGACAAGATACCTGTCTATGCAGGTACAGTGGCGTGGCAAGCCTTGTACCGGTCGGCACCGGTAGGACACGGTAGAATCCGATCAAGGCACCATTGCAGCTGCAGGAACCTCTATTCCACTGGCCACTGGCCACTGACTGGTTTGCATTCCGTTAAGGTTAGACATATTATGAGCATTAATTGGCCCGTATATTATTATTATGGAAAGCTTCGCATGCCTGTAGAATGCACCGGCTAAGGGGAACTGGCATAACTACCTACCAGGTAGGTAGGTACAATATGGCCCCTTTCTTTCAGTGGCTCTCTATCGGTCGTGGTCCTCCCAGGGGGCTCCAGCGGGTCTCGCCTCACCTTACTAAGTAATACCGGGCGTCTGCAAGTCGCTGTCACCACCCCAGCATCCAACTTCCAACATCCTGTTGCGCATAAACGCCACGTCCAAAGAAAGCAGCAAGGAGAATATTTATAGCTGGAAAAGCCAAGTCTAATGATTGTCCCATCAGGCCATGAACGACGGCGTAATCCTCGCCATGCTCGCCATGGCTCCCTGTTTCAACAGCGTCTCTGCTCGTTTCTCCTCTTCCCCAACCCTTGCAGTGCATCCCATCTTGGACGACCCTGGACTCGCACCCGCCAAGAGGCAAGGATGGCACCATCATTCGCGGCGCAACTTTGAGCAAGGGCTGTCTCGCGTGAGCACTCTTATTTTTTCCTGACGTGCAAGGATCATGGCCAAATCGTTGCCGACCGATATGAGCGTTGGCTGCCGGCCTACCCAGTATTGTACTTGTTGCGATCCTCGGAGGAAATTTCCTTTTTTTCTGACATGGATAGAAACGTATAGAAATCCGGCCCAGATTCATACAAGAGTCAGTCAACAGCGCCCGCCTGGTGACGCCGCATCTGTTGTTTGCTTCCTAGCCAACTAGCGCCCAACCTTGGCAACTGGAAGTGTGGCAGCCGCCGATCTGTCCTTCTCACGGAGTATTCAGCGTTCAGCCTTGCACCCTTGGCCGTTTCGAGCCCGCGTGAAAAAGTCCGCCGTCGGTTCTTGCTTCTCGAAACTTGTTCCAGAATCCCAGCTCGTCCCCATCCTGGTCAGGCATTCAGTGCATTTACGGCCGTCGTCATCGAGCGCCTTGCCTGTGGCACTGCTGACACGATGCACACGGCATGACCTCGCGATGAAGACACACTCAGCCCCCAAATTCAAATCTTGCATTAATTATTCCATCATTACTGCAGCGCTGCATGCAGTCACTTCAAGCGACTGGGACTGTCTTTGTGATTTTGCGCACATTGTACGTACGATTTGGAACACGGACTGACCAACATGAAGTACCAGTAGAACACAAAGAGTCTGGTAACTATATCTCTTTGTTTCATCCAAAGTGGTTTGCCAGCGATGGCCCGTCGTCATGTAGATGCATCTACCCGCCCGTCTGTGTAACATGCAAACGCGGGCAGCTGCGACTTCGCCCCCGTGCCAAGATGTCACAATAACCGCACCCACGCTCGCGCACCATCTCCCTTCTTTCTTCACCATCCGGAAATGTCGAGCCTGGCCATCTCGCTCCCGTCGTCCGTTGCCAGTATCGACACCACCTGATCCGAGTGCAAAGAAACGTCGACTCACACGAGATGGGGCGGCTTACACGACCCCAGCGCATCGTCATCTACGTCGAAATGGCCGTCCGTGCTCTCGCCATCATTATGCTGGCCCTCGCCCTCGGCATCTTCATCTACACGTCCGTTTCGTGGGACTACAATATCCTGCACGGATACATCATTGTACGCGCAAGGTCCCCAGAGCGCCCGACACCATCAAGTTTAAGCCAGCTAACCTAGAGACGGAATCGAGTTTAGGTGTCTATTTTTATCACTTATGACCTGGCAGGCATCGTCCATCTCACAAGCGTTTTAGCCTTGAAATACCGCTCATCGCTTGCAATACTGAGACTCTACCTCATGTCTCGCATGGCCCTCGAGGCTGCCGCTGCTGGTGGTGCCATTGGGGGCGGCGTGGTCGTCTTCTCCGAACCCTCATCACCTCCCGACTGCGAATCGCCGACGTGCCAGGCTGCGTTACAAATTGGCGTGGCGCGAGAGCCTGCCGCGACGCTCATATGGATTGCTGCGTAGGTTGTCCTCTCCGCAGTCGAGCAAATGCGTGGGGTTCGGCCTGGAAATACGAATGCTAACCTTAACGCCTTCAAGAGGGTTGCACTATGTGTTGTTGAATCTTATTGCTGTTGAATACTACTTCGTTACGCAAAGACAAAAAGTCAGGCGCGACTTGGGCAGAACAGACTACGAGCTATCGACCGGAACTTTGCCCCCGGACGAAGCGGCTGCCTGACGGCAGGCGAGTTTATCCAGCTAGCTACAGCCACCATATGGTCGGCTTTTTACTACATAACCTTCCCTCGGGCCAGGACGGAGCAGACAAATAAACTGTTCGACGAGGTGCCGAGAATGCCAAGGAGATAACATGGGCTGTGAGTAGAACTATTTACAAGAGGAAGTTGAAATCAAGGTGTTGCTAGAGAGCGCCACACTCGGCGGGATGCATCTAATCGCGCCCGTCAAGTCGGCCGTTGATATTGCGTGTAGCTACAGTTCATCTCGCCCGGCCCGTTGAGTCGGCCGCTGATGCATTGCATGTAGCTACAGAAACAACCTCGGCGGCACCATCGGATTGGGTTCGGCGGCGCAGACGGCTGAACGCGGGGCGGCGACCGACTGGCGTAAAGAACCCATCCTTCCGCTCCATCCGGCCCATGGGTTTATTCGTTGTTCTTTTTTTCCATTCACTGCTTCTTCCTCCTTCCAATCGCCATCTCCGACTCAGAAGCTCTTTATTGCCAGCTTTGCATTGGCGCGGAATTGCGAACTTCGTCTCCCCACAATCAGGCTGCAGGCTGCGCGCTCTTGCATGTGAATCCCGATCGACTCCAAAAAGTCACCAACGTCATCCACTCCCACCCACGCAATTGCAAACGCCTTGCAGCTCTCGTCCATCCAACCAAAACCGATATATCGTCCCCGATTTGCATTTCTGCACCACTCAAATACCTGCGACACTGCATGCGACACTGCCACCGGCCCCGCATCCCTGACAATGGCGGCGCAAACCAGCAGCACCGCCATGGCGCTGCATCCGCCTCCGGACATCACCTCGGACGACGAAGCCAAGACGGCCGCCGAGCGCTCCACGTACACGGACCCGGATGACGTCCAGGCGGTGCTGCAGCCGGCCATGAGCCGTGCCGCCAGCCACCTCACCTCGGTGCACACGCCTGCCGTCGAAAAGGCCGCCGCCATGGAGCGCATGGCGGGCTTCTTTGACGGCGGCTCCGGCGTCGCCAACATTGCTGAAGACTCGCATGACGATGACGATGTCGCGATGCCAACGAGGCCATCCACGCGGAAAGCGACGGACCACACGATGCAGCCCTCGCTACCCATACCGAAGCCCTTCAACTCACAGGACGTGTATAAGGCGACGCGGACGCAACAGACCAAAGGCGTCTTAGGTGCGGCGCTCGGGCCGACACGCCACCAACGATCCGGGTCCGCCGGCCAGGAGGCGCTCAAGCGCTTCCGGGGGGCCCTGCCTTCCTTTGGCTCTCCCTCCAGCTTCTTGCCGTCTCTACCGACCAAGTACTTTAACAACCTCGCCGACTCCATCCCCAGCATCAGCGGACACACAAAAAATGCCAAATCCGAAACGGCAGCTCCGAACGCTAAACCACCCGCTGTGAAGCGGCTGCACGCGCAGGCTACCATGCCCATCATGCCGGCACGCGATAGCTCCAACTCGCCGCGCCTGGGATCGTCGGGCTCGCTCCGGCGCACCACGTCCGACGAGAGCATCCTTTACCACACTCTCTCGCGGCAGTCGTCGCTTGGTGACGACGACCGCTTCCAGGACGTCCGTGAAATGGTCAACATGCGGCTGCTCGCCCTGAAAGACAGCTTTCCCGATGTGCCCAACTTCAAAATGCCCGACGTGCCCAACTTTAAGATGCCGTCGCTGGCCCGGCTGCAGGCCACCGCGCGCCGCTCGCAAATCTCCCTCAACGGCATCTTCTCCTCCAGCGACGCTGCCGCCGACACGCCGCAGCAGCCGCGCGACGTCGTCGCCCCAGAGTCGAGCCCCGAGCGGGAGACCAAGCTGCAGCATCCCAAGGACGACTTTGACGACATGCTCAAGGACCTGACCGGCGACGTCGTTATCCTGGGCGGGTACCGCGGCTCCGTGCTGCGCTCCGCCGAGCCGCCGCACCACCAGCTCTGGGCACCCGTCAAGCTCGGCCTCAACCTGCGCAAGGCCGACCTCGAAGTCGGCCTGACCGACGCTGACGAAGAGTCTATGCCCGAGCGCATCATCCCCTCGGGCATGCTCAAAAACATTGGTCCCATTGACATCTCCCGGAAACTGTTTCGCAAACTCCAATCCTCGGCCAATGCACAGTCCGGCCGTCTCCGGGTCTGGGACTTTGGTTACGATTGGCGCCTCAGCCCGCGACGCCTTTCCCGGCACCTACAAGATTTTCTCGCCACGCTGCCGTCCAACCAGCCCACCGGCGGGAACACCTCGGCGTCGTCCCGAGGCGCCATTGTCATTGCCCATAGCCTTGGGGGGCTAATCACGCGGCACGCCGTCAACCAACGGCCAGAGCTGTTTGCGGGCGTGCTGTACGCTGGCGTCCCGCATCAGTGCATGAACATTCTCGGCCCGCTGCGCAACGGGGATGCCGTGCTCTTCAACGAGAAGCTGCTGACGGCGCGCGTCAACTTTTCCATCCGCACCAGCTTTACGCTCCTCCCCGAGGACTCGTTTTGCTTCGTTGATAAGCATACGGGCGAGGCTTACCCTGTCGATTTCTTGGATCCCATGAGCTGGGTGCGCCATCGGTTGAGTCCGTGCCTCGAGGCGCCGCTGCCCGCAGCAGCGGCGGCGGTCGCCAAATCGTCGTCGCCGGCCACTGGCTCCCTAGCCTCGTTCCTGCCGCACTCCTTCCTCCGTCCCCGCAGCGACAGCAAAGAAAACGAGCCGGACCCCGTTGTGCCGTCCATGACGACGGGCGCATCCCCACCCGTGGTTGCCGCGGCGTCCGACTCTGGTGGTCCGTCCTCGGACATGACGGAAGAGGCCTGGCTGGCGTCGGTCGACGATGAGCGCCGCCACCTTTACGCGTACCTGAAGCGGACACTTGCCGACACGCGGACGTTCCGCGCCGAGCTGAGGCACTCGGCGCGGCACCAGGCGGCCAATGCGTACCCGCCGCTGGCCGTGTTGTACGGCAAGGCGATCCCGACGGTTTGCGCGGCCGGCGTCGACGGCCGCGCGGGCATCTCCCGCGTCGACGCCTACGACGACCTGGCCTTTGGCTCTGGCGACGGTGTCACGCTCGCGCGTGAGGCCATGCTACCCGAGGGCTACGCGCTCGTCCGCGGTGGCCGCGTCAGTACCGAGCGCGGGCACATTACGCTGCTCGGCGACATGCCGGCGCTGGGGAGGGCGCTGAAGGCGCTGATACGCGGGCGTGCCAAGGGCATAGGCCTTGGTGCGCCAGACGGGCCTTGATAAAAAGGCAGTGCCAAGTGTGTGAAGACGGCGCGGGTGGGGGAAACCTTGGCTGGAATACTCCCGGGGGGTTCTTTGGCAATTGTAAAACTGTAGATGACATATTCGTGACAGTGTATAGAGGAGGGGACAATGAACATGATATACAATTCCAAGAGACATTTTACATAAAAATACATAAAATCCTTGCACAATACCATGTCCAGATCAAGATACCGAAAATCTGCATAAACCAAATTCAAAAAGTTGTTCAGAACGCGAAGACGAGGAAATTGAGCATAATATTATATACTCTATTGTAAACGTACTAAAGACAATGTTAGATTTGCCCCGACTCCTTGCCCACCAAGGCATTCATTCCAAGCTCTCTCATCATGCAAGTCGTTGCCACTGCGCTCCTCTTTTCCGCACGCATCGTAGCCTGCAGCAACAAAGCGCACGCAGCAATGTGAGCCCATGGCTTATTTCATCCGGCCGATCCCGCGTTGTCGTTGCTGATAGTAGCGGGGATAATTCTTCACACGAGGTTGGGAGACAGGCGTGGAGACGATGTTTGCTGTCTCTTCACGGACCGTTTTCTCCGATGACTCTGACACATGCGGAGAATAATAGCGTACGCTGTAGGGAGGGGGGGAGGGGGGTTATGAACGGCTGGATGTGCCACACTGGATTCGGTCGAGGGTACAGTACAGTTGCCATCGACACGGTGAACCAGAGGTGCTGCCCGCTTGGGTGCAGGGCTTTCCTTTTTTTTCTTCCGGCCAGTGACCGTTTTTGGTGTGGCGAAAAAAAAAAAGCCGCGCCATGTTGTTTTGGACCTTGGAGGTTTTGGCGTGTTTTGGCGTGCGGCCGGTCCTGCATGTCTGACCGACACGATAGGGTTGCATTGCAGACTACCTACCACGTCTCACTGACCTAAAAGAGCAAAGCTCGTTACAGGCCAAAATAGAAGTTGAGGCGAGAAGATAGACTGCAATGGCCAAGTATAAGCTTACCCAGTCGCCAGGACACGGTGCACGGCTTGACTTTTTGCGGTGCAGTCCTGATTCGGATGTTTTGCGTGTCACGGAACGCACGCTTCATCCCGCAGCATTGTGGAGTGCTTCGAGGCTTGCAACGTACCACACTGGCATTGTCCAAGTAACCTCCTCCTGCTCCGTCAATGTGTTGATGGCTGTGACGACCTGTTGGTGCATGCGCTGCAAGATGTGGTCGAGATGGTCGCGGTCGCGGCAGGCTTCGTCTTGCTCGCGCGGGACAAAGACCAGCTCGACGAGGTTGGGCAGCGCCTGGCGGATGATGCGCAGCACGTCCATGGTCAGACTCGCGGCCGTCATGGAGCGGTAGGTGTCGTCGATCCAAAACAGGGCGTCGCTGACGGCGATGCGGCGCACGGCGGCCAGCTCGGCGCGGTCGCACAGGGTCATGCAGGTGCGAAACTGCGCGTCGGTGGCCATGTAGCCCTGGCGCGGGCCGAAATAGAGCACGTCACGGCGGGGGTCAAAGTAGACGCGGCCCGGCTGGCGGGCAAAGCCAAAGCAGCGGCGGTAGCTCTTGGTAGCCTCGACACGCGACTCGGCACAAATGGACAGGTTTGCGGGGTTTGGTGTCGTCGTCGTGCAGCCCGTGGCCGCAATGAGACGCGGAGCCGAGTCGGGAGCCAGCTCGTCGCCGCCACAGCGGACAGGGACGATGCGCGTGCCCGGGAGACTGTAGTTCCATATGCGGAGACGTAGTTCGACGGGCAGTCTGGAAAAGAGCGACTGCGGTTGAAACGATTCGTTAGCTGTGGGTCTTGAATCCCATCGTGAAGCGTGGGATAGATGCATCGTTCTGCGACGTGGGGAGACGGCTGTGGGACTTACAAAGCTGGCAGGGGAATCACGCTCCATTGTGTCTGCCAAAGGCATGTTCGCAAAATCAGTCCGGTAGTGGCAGTGTGATAGCGGTGAAAATGAATCAATCACAGTACAGCCCCGGGAGGGCAGGGTGGGAAGTCTGGTGAGGAGAGGAATGCAGTTCAAGACGGAGGATCAAGGGTTGAGGATTGAGGATTGCGAGATTGCGAGGGCACGGTGAGGAGAGGGAGGTGGGTAGGCTGGTCGTTATAGGTTTTAGCGACTGGACGACTCGCGGCGAGTAAGACGAAAGACGAACGGCTCCACGAGCCGGGGACTTGCAGACAAGCAGACAGGATCCGTTTTGATGCGTCAAGCAATGCACTTGTAGGGGTGCCAAAGCTGCTCTGGCAAAAAAAGGTCGAGTGACAGGTTGCTTCCTAGCAGGTATATATATATAATATGACGGAATCCAGACCACAGACCTAGAGAAGTGGATAATAAAGCGCCGCCCCAGGCCTGTGTGAGCGTTCAACTTGAGTTTTGGTGGCGCGGGTTGGTGGGCTAGAAACAGGTTCAGTGGTGGTTAGTGGTTAGACTTGCCTGTCATGTATGTGTGGTTGCAAAGTCTATTTTCAACCACACAGGAATAATAATGAAGGGGCGCCATGCCGTTATAACTTGAAGATGAAGTGAGTTTGCGGCAAAGAACAGGAATTGTCTTTGCATCTGCTTGCGGTCCACTTTCTGCAACGCCTGCTACAATTGGACAGAAAGCAAGGGAGGCAGACCATGGCCATGTCGGCTGCACATCATGGGCTAGTTACCACCTGGCGGGGGAACTTGTTATCAACACCCTGCTGGGGAGATGGTCATATGTTCCGGGGAGGGGTGGTGTGGGAACCAGTGATGTGATTGCCACCAGACAAACCATACGAGCAGTTGACCAGTGGTGCTCAATTGTGGCAAAACTGACCAAATCTTGGTAGTCTGTGTGACTCTTTGTCATGAACCTGTTTCTTTCTGTCTCGCGGATAGGTACAGGCTGGAGGGCAGCATGGTGAGGCTGGACGCTCGGCCCAAGGTTGCTGAACTGGTTGACGGGTAGAGCGCACGTGGAGGAGGTGTGCCATTCTAGGCACAAGTCAAGACAAACAACACAGAAGCGAACAAATAGGAGGGTGAACTGGGATCCATGACTGGCGGGTGATACATACCATGACTGGATCAAGCTATCCTGGCCGCCATGGGCATACAGCCACCAAACCCCATGTTTCTGTATAGTCGCCGCCTTGCCCGGCCGAGTGACTGACATGGCGCCCGGTTGGATACGGGAGCTTCTGGTGGACACTGGCATAGGGTTGCCGGCGCGTGCTAGTGCGGGTGCATCCGAGTACCGGGAGCGAAGTGCGAAAAGGCCAAGCGGCCGCCCACGTCCAACGCAAAAGAGGTCGCGCGGAGGGCCAAAACGCTTTACAGTCGAGAGCACATGTCGTACCTTCGTACCGGGAGCCACTTTGGACCTGCACCGTGAATACCGGACTGGCTATTCACGTCATCGTCCACTACTGCCCAAACTGGACGGCCCATCTGTTCATGGCGAAAAGGCACACACTTGACCTAAACCTTGTCCCGGACGGGCTGCAACCACATTTTTTTGTTTTCTGTTTTTTTTTGGCGATCGTTGTATTCTGGAAATAGAGCATAAGCTGGGGCGGTCTGCAGACAAATGTTTGGCCAAGCAGCCCTGGTCCACGATTTTGTCATGAAAGAGACGGAACGAGACGGAACGGCCGAGTGGAGGAAGGCCCTTGTCGTCCGCTATCTTGAGACCAGGGAGCGCGGCCAGCCACCACCACTCAGATCATGGTGCGAGGGGGAGGGTCGTTCGGTTCCCGGCGGTGGTCTGAATCAATCAACTATCAGTATCAGATTGATGGGAGCGGCCCAACGGAGCACGCGTTGGACGAGGAAAACGGACCCATGCTCGGTCAGTCAAGCCGTTGATAAAGGAGGACGATGTACTGGCTCGTCTTTTTCGGGGCATTGAGGATGCACCTTGGATGCCGGCAGATGGGTAGATGAGCCGCAGCAAACGCAGGTCCGCGGAAGCTTACCCAGTCCGTATCAGTCGAGCTTGGGAAACCAGCATGCTGAGACAATGTAACATGAGTGTTTTTGGGGGGGGTTGCATGAAAGGGTAGGTCTGGTTCATGTGGATTGCGTGTTGCTGTAGCTCGGATGAATGGTCGAATGGGCTTGCCCTGCGTGCGGGTGTGCAGTGTGGATAGCATCATGGTTACTGGCTTTGGTGAATTGAGGTAGTTACGGAGTGTGCGTGGACTTATTGGACGCCGCCTGGCAAGCCACTATTACAGGGCCTTTCGCTATTACAGAGCCTTGTACATAGCGGGGGCGGAAGTACCTGCAATTTCTGTGATTGGCTAGGAGCCCTAAAAGGGACTTGGATTCTCCAACAAGATATATTGTGTGTAGATGAAAGTAATATATAATTTATAATATATATAATATATATAATGTATATATACTTATAGGTAATAAAGTAGTACCGATGCATCTCGATTACGAGTCAACATTCAATTATACAAGGCCCTCGCCGTAAAGAAGCTCTCCAGCTCACCGAGTACTTGATGTCGGTCTATATTACCACATTCCACCACACCATCATACACACACACAACAACACACACGAAGCCACTGAAAGCCTCATGAGCCCGTTTCTGCCTTTGGAAAAAGGACAAAAGTTGGGGTGCATCAACAGCCCGCGGGAGCTGCATTGGGTCAATTCCGCCGCCGCGCTTTTAACCCCCAGAGGATCGACAACACAACTCTGTTACACTCCCCGTCCTGCCACTCGCTCGTTTGGGAAAACAGTCCCATGTCCATCCAAAATGTCTCGCTGGCGGGGTTCTGGAACACGGCCGGCCGGCTCCTTTGTTTGCTAGGGATGCGCTGCATTTTTTTTGCTCCCTGGTGCAAGCTGCCGTGTTGATATTTTTTTTTTTTCCCCAAACACATGCTGACCGCCAAGCCCTTTGTCTCGCCGGAATTCTCTCCCGTCTCTACAGATTACAAGCAGCACAGAGAACGATGCGCTGCCCTACTGGTATCATGGCACCGTTTTGCAGGCACTCAGACCCCTGCCAAGCGACTGCTAACGAGTTACTTTTCCATCATCTCATCATCTCACGATAGTAGAGCCAATCATAACGGCCGCGTCGTCCAATTCCATGGCTATCCATTGGTTGCTTCACCCTCCGTCCACTCCCAGTCCAGACTCGACCACACCGGTTCTTGCTTGTTCGCCAACGCACCAGTCGTTCCATGTCATAGCGCTCAGACAGTAGGGCGGCTCCGAGTGGCTATCAAGCCCGTGGGCATCGTTTCATTCCGTTGCTGCACATGCCCGGCCGAATGGGACATGGTGCTTTAAAATAAATGTCCGAGTCATCCTCCTCCCCGTTTCCGAGTAATGGTCCGTAAGGTCCGGCCACGCTGTACAACGTTGACGTTGGGGCGGCTCGTACACCTTTCTCCTTCATCACCAACATCATCGGAGATGACACGATGCGGAGAATATCACGGCTCGCATCACGGCACATTTGCGCTGTCAGATTAAGTCTCAGGTACGCCGCCAGAGCCCGTGTCTCTGCCAACTGCAACCTGGATTACAAAGCCGGTTTGCAGCGACATGAATGAACGCTCATGTCGGCCCAGACAGCCGTTCCTTATCAGTGTTGAAGCGCGCCGTCTTGCAGTGAACCATGGCTTATTATGTCTCGGCTTGTCTGTCGCCGCTGTGCTAGCTCCAAGGCCTCGACAACATTCTTTCATCTCAGAGCACGAGTACACCATGTACAAAAGCTACAGGCCGTTTGAGCGAGCACGCCACCAAATCAGACACCACGGCGATGCTGGCAGATGCAGGTTCCGCTCTCGTCTCAGTCGTTTTCCGCCTCGAACCACCAGGCATGACTCGATCAAAAGTAAAGTTGCTTGGCAGGTTTGGGAATGTTCTAGATCCCGCAATCTAGACCTGCGCCATCAACGTTGGGAAGGGGCGTCGATCTCGAACCGCTGCACTCGGTGGCCGGCGGATCGGGCCGTTGCGGGACATTCCAACCCTCCAAGGCGATTCCGCAGTCGTCCTGTAATAAAAACACGCAAAAGCTAACTATCCAACATGGCACAAGAACAACATCACTCGATGCCGTCTCCCGCGGCCACGAGCCGCGCCATCGTACGACGAGCGGAAGTTCTCCGCCTACCAAACCTTACGTCTCTCTGCAGGCTGCCACTTTGCTTCCCGCACATTCCCTACATGGTGCTCAACCTTTCCATATTTTCCCTTGCCGCAAGGACACTCTTGGCTTCTTCCCGCTCCCATTTCGCGTCCCCCAGCGATTACCCCACGCCCCTCGGTCTGGAGACGGGAGGTTGCAACGAGTATACCCGCCAAGGGCCGGGCCGCGGCACGCCCGCAACGGGTGGGCTCACGACCATGACTTGTTTCATATTCCACGCTGGTGAATGGGAAGACGATGCGTGCTGCTCAGCGCCGAGAGAGAGCAATACCGCTTTTCACGAACAATAAAGAGCAAGAATTACATGTGCATTGCCACGCGCGGTGCCCCCCTAATGCCACGTGTCGGGTTCGTTCCCAAATTACGTTGCGCACGTTTGATGAACCTGGTAGTGACCATGGCATCTATCTATTTATCACACTACCGAGAGAGAAGTCTGAAGGGAGTGTGAGTCGTCTAGGTTTCATGGTAAACTCTGTGTCTATACACCGTTCCCCTGGAGCTACGCACTGTAGATTGATTTTGATAGCGTTCGGGGATCCGTCATCTCTAAAAACAATCATTGTGTTGCTAAGCCGAAAAAAAAGAAGGGGATGAATTGTTCAATTGATATCTGTACACGAAATGGCGCAAGGACGCTCCAACATGTTGTGAGTGGTGAAGTCAATGGGAGACACGGGCAGTGTCTCGCCTAGAAGAGCCCCGCGTTGGGGTAATTTTCCAAAATCTGGAGCTCATCCTGCATCAAGTTGAGAATATTCTCATAGCCCGCCGTCCAATCCATGGTCCCCATCGTCGTCGGGTCCCAGTCCGCCGGTAATTCTGACAGTACCGGCTCTCCCCCGGGTATGACCGCCGCCTCCTCGGCCAGCGGCAGCAAGCCCTGCTGCGCAAAGCTCATTTCGGGTGCCTGCTTCAGCAAGGGCTGTTGTGATTGTGGTTGTTGTTGTTGTTGCTGTTGGTAGGGGTCCAGCTGCGGCTGCCCCTGCCCGATGCTAAACTGCCGGTGCAGCAGGTCGTTGACGTGGTCGAGCGCCTGCGGCATCTCGGGCACGGAGGCGCTGCTGTTGTTGATCTTGAGCTTGACGCCGACAAACAGGCCGGCGACCTCGCACATGACGTGGCACAGCTGGTGGAAGCGCTTGAGGCGGTTGGAGACGTCGAGGGCGTGGCTGAGCGACTCGATGAACTCCTGGAGCAGCACGAGGTCGGTCAGGGACAGCGTCTCGAGCACGTGGCGCAGGACGACGAAGAAGGGCGCAAACGGCGTGTGCAGGATGGTCCAGTTGATGTAGCTCGACCGCGCGTACGGGCCCAAGCGCATGAGGTGCATGGAGCGCTTGTGCGTGCGCATGGCGCGGCGCGCGGCCTCGACGCACTCGGCGCGGAAGACGTCCTGCCCGTCGAGCGCGGCGACGGCCTGGTACACGAGCGTCAGGTTGACCGAGAGCTGGATCTCCTCGCCGATGCGGAAGATCTCGGTCAGCACCGGCGCTTCCTCGTTGGCCGGGTACTGCCGCTGGTGGGACTCGGCCTCGCGCAGGAGGCTGCGGCACTCGGCCGCGAGCGCCGTCGCGTGCGCCACGCG